AAAGGTTTCATGCCTGATGCATTCTTTATCGCACAGAACACGAGCTAAGTAGGGTATGGATGAGTTTTTGTACTTACTAGTGCGGGCATATAGTTTCCTATATAGGCTTCTTGTTTTCCCTGAAGAGATACATGGGGAGAGTTGTGAATGTAGAGGGTGTTGTGAGTCAGATAAAATGGATTTCGCCCATTTTTCACATGAGTCCATATGCCTGTCCACCAGAATATTAACTAGCTGGCTAAGTGGCAAGCTGCTTACCCTGCTGACAACCTTTAACATCCTACGTAATAAGGTATAGTCTTTCTTCAATAGCCCAGGAAAGACTAAGGGGGAGCAATAGAGAATAATAGGCAGAATACGGGAGTTAACAAATTGTAGGAGTAAGGGTTGGGTTACACCAGAATGTCTTAACTTCTTGATGTAGAAGGTAAGACGGTATATTTTCTTGGAAATCGTCAAGATATGAGACGACCAGGAAAGATCAGAAGATAGAGTGACGCCTAGGTATTTAATTTCCGACTTGGTTTCTATTTCACTGCCATCTATGTTGCACACCTCGTGAGTGCTAACCAGTTTGTTTAGGTCAGATTTATGCCTAAGGGTGAAATTAACTGTTTGGCATTTGGAGGGGTTTAAGGTTAGACCGTTTTCCTTGGACCATTGGCTAATTTCCGATAAGAAGCCATTTAGTTTAGAGCAGTCACTTTGACATTTGACAGGTAAAGACACAGTTAGGTCATCAGCATATTTGACAAAGTTAATGTCATTTGAAGACGGTAGGTCATGTAGAAAGAAAGAAAAGAGAAGTGGGGAGAGTACAGCACCTTGGGGGACACCAGCTTCTGTGAGCACAGCAGAGGAGGATTGGCCTTTGTATACGGTGTACTGCATTCTGTTTGAAAAGTAGGAATGCAACCAGTTAGTGACCCAGGACTCGGTTTGTGTCATGGAGAGCTTATTTAGCAAGAGACTTCTAGGTACAGAGTCGAAAGCAGAAGTAAAGTCAAGAAACGTGCAGCGGACATATTTGGCACCTTTGTCTAATGATGAGATAATACTGTTGTGTAAGACGGCTGCAGCGTCTAAAGTACTCCTACCCTGTCTGTAGGCAAATTGTTTGGGGTCTTCGAAGCTTTTAAGGGAGGGTTCGAGTTTAAGAAGTACTAGTTTTTCCATGAGCTTTAGAAACGGGGAAGTGATGGCGATGGGTCTGAACTTTACGTTCTTGCTATTGCCAGGTTTAGGGACAGGGACTATTTTAATGTCTTTCCATGGAACAGGTACAACGTTTTCACGGAAAGAAGCATTTAGTATATTAGTTAGAGGAGAACATAAAGCATCTGCACATTGTTTTAGAACATATGCAGGTATGCTATCAGGGCCAAGACTATGTGAGGGCTTAAGAGTTTTAAGACATTTCAAAACATCGAGAGTATTGAAGTCCTGGAAGTTATCAGCTACAAGATTGGTAACGTTAGAAGTGGTTATAGTAGAAGGAGAGCGTAAAAAAGACAGATTAAGAGCATTAACATCAAAAGAGGGAAAAACATTACATCGCTTACTTTTGCCAGTAATTTCATTAAAAAGTTTCCACACAATAGGGTGGGTGGGACAGAGTCCAAATTCGAAAAAGTAATACAGATAGGTGGGGAGCTAGAGAAGTTGATTATTGAATCTTCGTTCATCGAATCTACACCTAACATATTCAAGAGGAACGACTTACCACTCATACCAGAAATATGAAAAAAAGTATTACTATCAATCAGATCAAGAGATGAGAAATAGTGGAATCATATATACACAGTTGGAAAGTGTGTATGAGTGACTTGAAATGGTCATGAGGAATAGTTTGTGCTCGAAACGAGGTCATCAGTAAATATGACTGTATAACACTGTGTGAGGCTTTATTAAAATAAATTTTACGCATAATAGTCTCAACCTCTACACTAGTCGTTCACTGTGACAAAATTTCAACTTAATTTTTAATTTTCAATTTCACTTTTAGTTTGCTATTACTTTAATAATGAATTCACTACTATCAGTGTTATGTGTTCCTTTTGTACATTTTCTCATCCTCTTCATACCTGTTAACTGGACACCGAATTACCACCTTTCTTCTCACTCAATAACGATTTTAACCTTGTCAAGTTTCTAACGTTTACTTCATATAGATAGATATAAGTATAAAACTTGTGGACTGTGATAGAGTATAACTCAATTATGGATACGATTTTATTTTGATAAATCGCACAGTATTATACAGTAATATTAACTGATGACCACGTTTTGAGCACAAACTATTGCCACTCATAATCATATCAGGTCACTCACTCACACAACTTTCTTGCTTCATTCATATACATGAGTGAAAATTGATGATTAGACATTTGAATAAAAATCAATATACGATAATGTACATTCAGAAATAATAATACTATGAGTGATATTGACCAAATGCAATCAGATGGGAAATAAGACGAGTGTTTTTATAGTCAAAATAATTAACTTGTCAGAATGTTGTATGATGTACGTGAATTAAAATAGAATTTTAAGATTATTTATTATCCTCCTCTGATTTGACTGATTGACTGGTGGTAATAATATCTTCAACGCATATCTCTGGTATTTGCATTGAGTCGTTTCTGTTGCATGTGTTAGGTGTAGATTATTTGATGAACCAGGACTCAGTAATCAACTTGTCTCTCCACCTACATAGATTACTTCTTAGAATTTTGACTCTGTCCCACCAACCCTATTGTGTGGTTGTGTGTTAATGCATGCAGTGCAAATACTGAGCTTTTTTCTAAATCACTTATCTTCTCCGGGTCAACCATTCTGACCTAAGCCACTAAATTCTTATGCTCTGACAATTTGACTATACCTGATCTACTAGTCTGACCTATATAGTTGACCTCACTCACAGTCATTGCAAGGTATTTTGTAAATTATATTATTTTGTTTAATTAGGTCCACTGGGTCTTCTCACTCAGTAATGATTTTAATCTTGTCAAGTTTCTAACGCTTTCTTCCTTTGTGTGGTTGTTGAGTATTACGTAATTTACAACCTTTGTGCCTACTTTTGAAGCCACTTCTAAGTAATTATATCAATTATGTCAAACTTATTACTCAATAATGGACTACTATACATTTTGTTTTAAATATTCATACCACTGTTCAGCCTCTGACGGTGATTTTGTCCATAAAGAACCCTTTCTAGTGTTGGTTTGCATGGATTTGATTTGATTTAGGATTTCATCATGAATTGACATTGGTTGGAAAAATCATTGGAAAACCAGCCAGGAAGTACTGAATAGCCAACTTTCACGTCAGCCAAGTTTGGGACACATCCATAGTGCACATTCACTCCATGGACAGGATTCGAACCCATGACCTTCAGGTTACAAGGAGAATTCGCAGACCATTGAGCCACTAGGACTCGCTAATCCAATGGCCAACCAGTTTATGAATTCCAACTTCTGACAATTCGCACATGATACAGCACCACTGGTGTAACTGAAGAAGGTAAGGCATGCAAGCCAAGGTATATTTGCCGTTGACCAAACCTATATATATATATATATATAACCGATCACTGAGCATGTAATTTCGGTTTACATCAAATGACATGAAATAAAATGTTCAAATATTCATAATGCGGTGGGAAATGTATTCTATGTGGTTTTGTTCTCTGAGCTGGATGGTTAGTTTGCGTCGGTGGTATAGCGGTTAGGACGCTCGCCGACCATGCATATGGTTTGGGGTTCGATCCCCGGCCGACGCACTCCTTTACCTCACTGAGCCAGAAATAATGCTGGTAAAGAGGAAAGGTTGGGCATGAGGCTGGCTAGCAACCCCATCCTGTAAAAATTAAACACTGCTACAGAAACTTCAAGCCACTAGCTTGGAGCCCTATGTTCCACTGGGAACGTGAAGGAAAAATGTATTCTATCTCTGACATCAAATATGATGTTCAAATAGATATATAGTATTCTGTTGCTAATACCGCATTGAACTGTGGGAATATGTGAGAATTATATTCCTCTGGTACACATTGTCTGTGTCACACCACCACACTGGTACTAGCCAGTGTTATTTTTCCTGGCACCCGAATTGCTGTAACCAACTGGTCGCATACTGCTGACGATTCCCAAACTAGGAAGAAACAGCGACTTTCCAGTACTCTAAGGTTTTCCAATGGTCCTCTAATCGATGTCAGTTCATGATGAAATCCTGAAACCAATCAAATGCCTGCAAACTAACACTTTAATATCAATCGGATGCTCACTAGTGACTTACCATATTCAGGTAGGTAGTTACCTGGGTGGATTCTAGTGAGTAGTCGTGACCACTGGCGTAGGTGCAGCAGGTCGGGAGTCAGGACAAATATTCGCCAGCAATAACAGTGACTAGTACCAGTCTTGTTATATCGTGTGTGAAGTGGCAGAAGTTGGAATTCAAAGACCGATTGGCCATTAGATTTGGTGAGTCTCAGTGACTTAATGGTCTAGGTTCTAACGCCGTCAGTGTGGTGGGTGCCTAGTGCTGAAGAGTTAGTTCCAAACCAGGTTGACGAAACACCTGGCTGCCCAGTACTCGAGTGGTGGTTTTTCAATGGTCCTCTAACCGACGTGTCAGTTCATCATGAAATCCTGAAAGAAACTTTTCTCCACTGAATTGGTCTTTTATTTTCTGCATGACTCAGTGTAGTTATGGTGATGGGGGCTGTTGTTTTCGGTGATTATTGTGCTGTTGTTGTTGTTGCTGTTGCTGCTGGTAATAACACAACAAGTGCTTTTTATGCTACTTAACTTTATTTTCAAGAATGAAGTAAACACTCCTTATCGATTATTTATTAATCTTTCTTCAAGTGTCTACTGAAATCTCTGTATAAATAGTATTCTTTTAATTTTAGAAAGTTTTATTTTTTTAAAAGAAGATGATATAATAAGAAGGGATTTTTACACATCAATTAGTGAAATTAAAAATTCATTCTATAAAATATGGAGAATAAATTTCAAATTCTCATTTTAATTTTTGTTATAATTAGTTATGTACAATGTAAGTTTGATTATTTAAATCAATTTTCTTTTTTTTGTTTTTGTTTTTTTGAGGTGTCTATAAGACAATCAGTGGCTTAATGGTCTACGAGCTTGCCTTGTAACCAGAAGGTCCTGGGTCCGAACCCTACCGGTGGGTGCGTAGTGCTGAAGAGTCCTAAACTAGGACGAAACAGCTGCCCAGTACTCTCAGGTTTGTGCGTCGGTGGCACAGTGGTTAGGACGCTCACCTACCATGCCCATGGTCTGGAGTTCGATCCCCGGCCGATGGACTCCTTTACGTCACTTAGCCAGTAATAAGACTGGTTAAGAGGAAAGGTTGGGCATGAGGCTAGCAACCCCATCCTGTAAAATAAACACTGCTACAGAAACTTCAAGCCACTAGTTTGATGCCCTGTGTTGCACTGGGAACGTGAATGAAAAAAAAATAAGACAACCAAACGATACCATTACTTAGTAATGTGAAGTATTCCCATATCATGAATTAAAAGTCAATCTGAACGAAGAATATTCTTTTCAATAATTTATCTTCTTCAGGCTCTTACAATTATAAAATATAATATTTGTTGCCCTTACAGTAATGGCCAGATAGGCGGCGGGTGCATTTTTAACGTAGAATAAGAGATTAGTACGTATAGGCTGTCAAAATAATTAGTATTTGTGTAAATTAAAACAGTTAATCCCTTTGATAAACTAGAATAAGGCATTAAGAAGACAAATTTCTCGAGATGTTATCTTCATTTCGTAGTTTCTTGACAACCACTTTACAACTAACAGGGTTAACAATGATAAAATAAAATAAAGTTCATGACAATTACTCAGTTAAATAAAAAACAAAAGTACATACTAATGACCAATCATATTTAAATAGGTCAAGTAGCCCATGGTAGACGAGAAGGTTGAAGTTTGTTGTTTTTTGTACATGCAGTTTAGGATGCATGTGATTAATCCCCAACAGTGCTTCCATCACCTTCAATAACCAACACTGAATTAGAGTTATGTGAAATAATTGTGAAACGGTCATTAATATTGATTTTGTGACCTGACATCGATAAGTGCTTTGCAATGGATAATGATGATAGATTTCTATTCAGATTAATCGCATTGGGATTTTCTGTCATAACAACCATTTCGGAACATGTTCTTTACATAGACCACATTGGAATATTCTCTTGGTTCTACCTATATAGGTGTCACCGCAGCTGCAGGTGAACTTGTAGATACAGTTTGAAGTAGAGTCCACACAATTTCGTCCTTTAATTGTAGGCAGCGGAATTGAAGATGTTAGGCATATGAGAAAAAGAGATGAGGCGGCGTAGAATGTGCGTTTGATGGCTAACCGAAGTCTTTAAGCTGTCAACTGCACAATCTGACCGCCTTTGAATAGTAGGTTAATGAAGATAGCTTTCTTTGGTACAGAAGCTGTCTTTTCTAGATGTGGTCTGTCCTTACTGTGACAAGTGATAAAGTTTTCCGGATAACCATTAGCTAATAAAACTGAGTGTATATGTCCAAACTCATCCATCAATGTGTCACTTGTGCATATTTTTCGGGCCCTTGAGAACAAACATTTCACTCGGGAACTGTTATATTGGATAGGAACAAAACTGGTGAAATGAAAATATTGTCCATTCCATGTCTGTTTACGAAAAATAGATCGCCTAATCGTTCCATCGTCTCTACTAGTCATTGAAATATCCGGGAAACCCAGTTTGTTATTCGATTCGAATTCGGAAGTCACTCGGATATTTGGATGAATATGATTAAATAGGGTAATAAAGTTTCCAACAGAATTACTATTATTACCAATAGTGAGTATATCATCCACGTAACGTTTAAATAGCATAAATTCTCCAAGCATACCTTGCATTTGATCCTACAATTTAGACATGAATATATCTGCTAACAGGGGCGCAAGAGGTCTCTCCACTGCAACACCATGGATTTGCTTGTGTGCCTTTTCTTAGAAAGTGAATCTGATATTTTCTGTACATGTTAGGATACTGTCTCTAATGTAAGTGATAAGATCAAGTAGTTGTATCTCATTGCTTGTGGTGTAATCGCAAATGAAATCAACAGTTTCATGAAGTGGAACATTGGTGAATAAAGATTCTGTGTTGATTGAGCACATAACGTTTTGCTTAATGTTCAAAGTGAGTATTTATTACCCATTAACTTGTTTGAAGTTAATGGATGAAGTTTACTAAACATCACTGGTACCCTAGAATGCCTGACTTACAAATTACTACAACAGATCTTATAGAAAAATTGGGCATTGGATTGCTTTACGAGATCAATTTGTTATACGATTCTCACAGTTGTATTATCATTATTATTCGCTTGGGTTCCAAGTGGAAGATAGGACTTCAACAACACATCTCCATCCTCTTCTATTTTCTGCCATCCTCTTCAGCTGGCTGTACCCACGATAGTTCATAATCTCTCATCTGTTCCTCACACGATTTCTTCCCTATCACCCACCCACTCACGACCCACTCGTCGCTTCCCATTCAGATTCCACTTAAGCGATGTCCTACACTGAGCGCGATGCCATCCGACGGTCTCCTCAGTGACGTGAATACTCGATCAATCCATCTCCATTTTCTCCTACCTATACTTGTTGAACGATTATCTCTTGCTTTGTTGGTTTGTTCATCGCCAGAGTTTCTTGTTTCTGATTCTTTCTGGCCAATTGATCTTCACTATGGAGCCAGTCAAGAGGGCAGCTGTTGATGAAAGTCTGCAACTGGGTGTTAGAAATCCTTTTCCTGACCTATGCCGAGTGCAAGTTTCTGACCTGCATAGAAGGGCCGACTTGATATTGGTAGTGAAAATGCGAATATTGTTCTTCAGGCTGGCTGGCTGAATGAGTGAAGCAGAAGATTTCCAAACTGGTTTCAGGTTGATCAAGGTGTATCTTGCATTTTCGATCCTGACTCTGACATATTCATCTGTTCCGTGTGCCTGTAGTTGAAACGATACTTCCCAGCTAGATAAGTGAAGGCAGGAAGTTACCCCTTTCAAATCTCTCCCATTGGTGGTGATTGGTGCTAGTTGTTGTTGTTGCAGTTCGTTGGTTAACTTAATAACCGTCTTTTTTGTTTTCATCTGTAGTTCTGTCTTCGCTGCATTGCTCCGTCAGCTAGTTGATTGGTTTTCGCTTGTAAGTCTTCGAGTTTGTGTGAGACATTGGACATATATCATCTTCGAAATCCTGATCTTGTAGATTCTTCTTATAGGTCAGTCAGCATATTCCTGTCTCCTCGCTCCCAACGCACAGTCTGATGTATAATCCAGTCAGTCCACCATAATGCGGAATACCGTCTTGGGTGATAATAGGCAGCCAGTCAGCCAGTCTTGCCTTACTCCTGTATGCAGTTGTGCTTTCATCAGAATGAAGATATTATAAGATGAACAAAGCTATTACATTTTCAAGATCTTTTTGACAATCTGTCAGTCAGCTGAGCTGTGCAGTCACCCAACTAAGTGGCTCACCCATACCACACAGTGGAGCATTCACAACACGTTACCATCAACGTAATACAACTCACAACTCACCTTGCGTAAGGCTGTGATGAATATATATAGCTATGGAGTAACCAGTGTAATGTGTCTAGTTATTTCCCCTTATAACTGCCTCCAATCACCTAACAAATCGGCAGTTTGTTTTCTTCATTAAGTCTGATTTGTTACCAGAGTACTTTTAATTGTTAAACTGCATTTACTGATATATAATTTAATTCAGTAGTATAGTCAAACAAGCATAATTTTCTGACTATTTTTTTTTCATCTAGGTGGAGGTAGCACTCCCAAAATGATAGGTAATATGTTTGTATTCAATTTACTTTATGACAAATTTTAACTCCATTTTTCCAAAATTATTATGAAATTTCCTTATATCATGTTTTGTGGCTGGACAGATTGAGTTAACCTGAATGTCGAACAAAACAATTTTATCATAAGAACAACGTGTGTTAGTAAAATTTCTGTAAATTACATAAATAAACCTCTTATCTCCCTAAGGTATCCCGCTATCTGGTTTACTGTGGAAAAAAAACTGAAGGAGAAATATCTTTCCTCGATATGCTACTAACAAGGAGAGCTGACGGGTCCTTCAAAAAGATCTATTCACAGAAAATTGACGTGGACAGGACAGTTGACTAACTTTTACAGTTTTGTCGCCATAGGCAAAAAAAAATGAAAATCTAATCTGTTCTCTGTCAACATGTGTCCGGAGGATCTGTTTTATTTTTTCCTTCACGTTCCTAGTGGAACATGGGGCTTCAAGCTAGTGGCTTGAAATTTCTTTAGTGGTGTTAATTTTTACACGATGGGGTTGTTAGCGTCATGCCCAACCTTTCCTCTTTACCAATCGCACTACTGGCTTAGCGAGGTAAGGGAGTGCGGCGTCGGCCGGGGATCGAAACCCGAACCATGTGCATGGTCGGCGAGCGTCCTAACTGCTGTGTCTCCGACGCACACCGGAGAATGTGTGGTGAAGGAATATTGTTGATGGTGAACTCAAACAAGTAAAAGAAACCTACAAAGAGAACGGGTATCCAATAACAAATTGCTTGGAAGAAAAGAGATTGACAAGGTAGCTAAAGATGTGCTGCTGCTATATATGTCCAAACCAAGTTGACTTTTAACAGTTTGGAAAAATTTGGGCATTGGATATATGATATATTCACTATAATAAGGTTTTTTCTGTATTTCCCAATGAATGAAAAACAAAACGATATTGTTATTGTGTTTTACTAACATTTCGCTATTTAATGCTGCTGCTAATAGCTTTATCAAAGTGGTACTATTAAACCGGAATTTACAAAATCCACTCAGCTTATATATATAACAAAGAATTAAGAGGTGAGAAAATAAACTTGGGTCAAGTTAAAAGGACATAATGAAAGTCAAATTAACATTGGAGATCACTAAACCAAATACCAAAGGTAATAGTACATCTATAAAGTTATATTTGTAAAATCTCAGCGAAATTGAAATGAGTAATTCCAACGTTTCGTTCGTCAATCTGGTCCGAACTTCTTCAGCGAAATTAATCGGAATTAACATAACAGAGGTTTATATATAAAAGGGAAGTCTCTTGTTTTTTAAAACTTTGTCCAATCATGAGTCATGAAACAGCTATCAATAGGTATACTAAACAATACAAAACAAAAGTTGTATGAACTATGATCAAAAATTTCTGTTTTGTTTTGTTTAGTATACCTATTGATAGCTGTTTCTTGATTCATATGACAGGACAAACAATTTAAAACAAGAGATGTTCCTTTTATATATAAACCTCTGTTATGTTAATTGCCATTAATTTCCGTGAAGAAGTTCGGACCAGATTGACGAACGAAACGTTGGAATTACTCATTTCAATTTCTCTGCCTACTTCTCACTCAGCTCTCAGTTATTTTGCAACTATTCGGTCAAATCTTGATCACAGTTCATATGAATAATAGTACATCTGTTATGATATCAAAACAAAGTTTACTAACTTGATCATATTCGTCAGTCTGGGGTCATTTTTCATTATCAAGTTGGTCAATTGGTAAAGGTAACAAAACCAAGTGTAGATTGTTGGATTTGATCAGTGTGTAAAATTATAAAAGTAGTGTGTGTTTACATTGTGAACTTGTTTATCACATTCGTGTTGATTTTGTCACTTCATGGGGGGAGGGAGGTGTTGACAACGAAAAATGCCCCCAGACTGACGAACAATGATCAAGTTAGTAAACTTTATTTTGATATCTATTTGATATTTATTTTGATAGTGTGAAATATTCCCATATTATCAATTAAAAGTCAATCTGAACGAAGAATATTTCAAAATCGCCCTTCTATAGGAGATATGTAGATGATATCATTTTGATATGTGACGATCATGAAGATGCGAGTCGCCTATTAGACAGACTTAACTCTGTACAAAATCATATTAGTCTTACATGTGAGGAAGAAAGTCGCAACCAGCTAGCATTTTTAGACATACTTCTGAGTCGAAGAGATGATGGCTCAATAAGACGGTCTATCTACAGGAAGCCCACTTGAACAGGGCAATACCTTAATTTTCACAGCTTCTGTCCATTACAGTATAAGAGGGGCTTGGTGAAGTGTCTATTCAAGAGGATTCAGCGTATTTGCACGGCTGATGTTATGGACAAAGAAAACGAAATATTAATGGATACTCTTGTTTGTTGAAAACGGATATCCTTTGAAATTTTTAAACAGGTGTAGGATTCAACTAGCCTCTAAACCTACAATCCACACCGTCCCTAAGAAAAATGTCTTCATCAGATTACCATATAACATGGAAATAAACAGTAGGATTTTGAGACAAAGATTGAATTCGATCATCCGTAGAACCTACTATGCAGCCCAGCTTGTAATTGTGGAAAAAGCTAAAAATATGCTTCACTGTAAACCTCAAAAGTGCACAAGAGATTATATCACATCCCACACAGTTTACCAATTTTCGTGTGTGTTTGGACATACATAAATAGGGAGGAGTAATCGCGCTTTGCATATGAGAGGGTGGGAGAACATATCCCAAAATGGATAGAAAAACAAATGAATTGTGACAAGCCAATAGATGCAGGTGGCAGACTACCAAATTCGTCTATAGCTAAACATCTAATCGAGATGAACCATAAGATTGATGTTAACTCAGCCTTTAAGGTCAGCTATAAAAACGGTCAAGGGCGTTTACTGAAATACGCTGAGGTTATAGCTATTCATAGACTTAAGCCCCCCCCCTGTGTATTAAAAAACAGTTTATCATTACTCTTAACCTACCTTGATAATCCTTATTTGATTGGATTACCAAACGTTTGTGTTAATTATTCTTAATTCCCTTTTCTCTCACTTTGTTTAATTTAACCTTTCTATATATATTGACTTGACAAGTAAATGTGTGAGGGATCAGATTGTTCGAAATGTATAGTGCTAATACATCACATTTTTCAGATATAGTCTCCGTCTTCTAATAACGCTATCAGAAGAATATTCTTTTCAATACATCCTTCTCCTCTTCAGGTTCTTACAATTAGAAAATATAATATTTGTGGTCGTTACAATAATGATAGCCAGTTATGCAGTGGATACATTTTTAACGTAGAATACACAGATTAGCAGTTATGGGGTGTCCAAATAAATAGTCGTATTTGTGTGACAAACGTCGTGCTAGGCTGAAATCGATTAGAAAATATTTCAGTGAAATGGGAGACAGTGATGGTGATTAATCATAATAAATTTGTAGAGTGTGGGGTAGGAAAATTGACAAATCAGTTCAAGGTTATAGAAGGTGTCAGGTGAGTGGCTAGTACAAAGTGAACTCATTAAACAGAAGGAGATAGTAAGACTGCGATAATGAAATGACGAATGTGTGATATGAAACAGGTGGAGGCATATATTGAGAAAAGAGATAATATCACTAATAATATCACTAAGTCCGGATAGTATAAATGAAAAATTCGATAGTATTGAGGGAACGTTTGCATAGAGGGCATAAATTATGACGAATAATGATGATAATTGTAATAATAATGTTTGCAATAAAAAGCAAAGTAAAAAAAACCAAGAGGGTTGAATCGAAGGAACACTCTTGGTGAGAAGAAAAATCATCAATCCAAGTTTGGCCACGGTAGGAAGAGCGTGTGAACGTGTTCTTTTTGGATACTAAGTTCCGGTTTAGTCGATCTTATTGCAACAGCTTCAGCTATGTGTAGGAGACGTTAGCGAACCGTACGTGATAACGACTTCGGGATTCGGTATGTAACCCTTAAAACTGTGTTGACGTCGATACGATGTCCGGTATCGACCAAGTGTCACAGGATCGAGCTTTTTATGCACTTAATTTTCCCCCCGCTGAACCAAGCTGGTGGAGTGTTCTCGAACCCGTTGACGAACCTTCCTAATCGTGCGCCCTATATAACTTGAACCACAGGAACAGTTGAAATGGTTGGTATGTACATGAAGAAGAGCTAAGGTTAGTTTAAGACATCTTTGAGTTGCTGGGTTAACATTGGACGGCTAGTGAAGGATAGATACAGATGTGCAGAGTAGAAAGTTTTCTTGATCGCCCTGGTTAAACGTTGGGATAGAATCTCCGCAGGAGTATCTCTCTTGAATTGAAGATGTAAAACCAAAGGCTTTTTCTCCACAGTTGCCAGTGCATGTTTACGACTATTGTAACCTATGTTGGCTTTAATGAACTTCTCTGGATATCCGTTCTCGCTTAGAATGTCTAGGATGACCTGGAGTTCTTTCTCTACACAATCTTCGGAACAAATAGACCTCGCTCTAAATGCTAAGCACCTGATTAGATTACGTTTGTATTTCATCGGTACGAAGCGAAGGAAGTGTGTATACTGAGCTTTGGTCTCTAGCTTTCTAAATATGGTTCTTCTGATGGAACCATCCTCTCTTCTCGTTAGTAGGACGTCGAGGAAGTGTAGAGAGTCGTTGTATTCTCCCTCGTAGATGAAATGGACCGCTGGGTGAGCATTATTCAAGTTGTCCAAAATCAAATCACTATTTAACCCTTCATCGTACACTACAAAAGTGTCATCCGTGTAACGACAATACATTTCCATTTTTGCTATTTCCTCTTTCAACGGACTATTTTCTAGTTTTGCTAGAAGTATATTCGCGATAATAGGTCCCAGAACCCGAAGAGAAATTATTGAAAAGGATATTCTCCGTTCAGATTGACTTTTAAACTTTGTTTTCACATCATAACAGATGTACTATATGCTTTGTTATTTGGTTTAGTGATCTTCATTGCTACTTTGACTTTCAATATGTCCCTTTAACTTGACCTAAGTCTATTTTTCTCACCTCTTAACTCTTTGTTATATATATATATATATATATATATATATATATATATATATATATATATATAAATATAAGCTGAGTGGATTTTGTAAATTCCGGTTTAATGATACTTTGATAAAGCTATTAGAAGCAGCATTAAATAGCGAAATGTCAGTAAAACACAATAACAATATCGTTTTGTTTTTCATTCATTGGGAAATACAAAAAAAACCTTTATTATAATGAATAATGTGTTGCACCTAAACTTAGAATTTAGAGGTGACACTGACAGTGAGGTATTTAAAAATCATCTGAGGAGATCATTGAAAAAAATGTTCTTTCCTGCCACTTTACGAATAACCCACTCTAGAACTTTGCACAAATGTGCGGAAGTTCAAGTCGCCACACTCCGTGTTGCGCGCGAAGCAAGAGAAGAAAGTACAAGAAAAGCATAGTAGAGACAGTGAGCAGAGGTGTGAGACAAAGGAGTAATAACGAAGAACAAAACAGTTTCATTGGAGATCATAAGTCACAAGGAGTGGATGCATCTGCGCCACTGTGAACGGTTTTGAGCCATGTCACCAATTGTTTCCAACCATAGATTTTTACCGTCCCGAGGACCCCAGCCTGGAAGTCTACACCTTTCTACGTGGCTTAGACCAACTGTTGTGGATTTCATTGACTGGTGAAGCCAAGTTTTTGTTTGACCGCCGCTAGCCAGCTCTTTTCCAGCCTGACCCTATATCCGCTAACATTGCTCGTCGAGGGAGGCGATGGCTTGGCATACGTAACACATGTCCTAACCATCTCAGTCTTTGTAACTTCACCACTTCGTCGATTGATTTCCCCTGTTTACCTAGAACTCGACCGACGCCTCACCTCAATATTGCTCACCTTATTATGCTACTTTACACGAGAAATAGAGCGCAGGCACCTATGATCAAAGACAGCTAGGCAGGCTTTTCATGTCTTCCACTCTTAGTGGCCAGGTCTCACAACCATAAAGGAGGACGGAGCGGACTGATGAGCAGTACACCCGCCCTTTGGTCGATAGTCGAACATCTCGTCTACGCCAGAGTCGGCGTAAACTGGCAAATGCGAAACGAGCCCCCTGTATTCGTGCTGAGATTTCGTCAGAGATCAACCCGTTGGCACTGGCTGATGGTACTTCCCAAATAAGTGAAGCGGTCAATGTGCTCTACCACTTCACTTCCTATTTTTAAACTATACAACATCATGATTAATACAAAATCATATGCTCACCTACTCTTGCTGTACTAAGTACGTGGGACATTCATCGAGAAACATATCTCGCCTCTGTATTCGAGAGCACCTTCCATTTTGGCTGAGCAAAGAAGAACTTAGAGGTATCAGTTCATCAATATTGCAACATATTGTAGGCACCAACCACTCAGCATCTGACACATCGTTTAATATTGTCGACAAAATTTCTCGAAGGGGACACGAGTGTATTTGCATTGTACGGCAGAGTCTTTGGCAATACATAAAATAAAGCTAAAACTTTGTTTACAAAAACATTTTGTACAATCTCTTTCATTTCCATGATCTTCAGTTTACTGTCTAATTCACATAGAAACTTTGTTATCTTTCTTTTTCCATGTTCCATTTTTTACTCTATTATATTTTATACAATTGGTGGATGGTGGCTAGCGGTGGAATCCAGGATAAAGCGCATTTCGTCCTATTTGGGACTCGTCAGCTGGATGTACCTGCATTTCTCAGTGAGTGATGATGTCCCCACTGAGGCTCAAACCCAGTGCCCATAGTTTCAAACGCCAAAGCGTTATCCACTAGACCACTTGGACCACGAGAGCCACCTCTTGTGCAACGGGTCCGAGCACTTCGGTCCAATCAATCGACGGGAAAATCAAAAATTCAATTCAACTATTATATTTTATTTCACTTTATGTTGACGAGGTGTTCAGTTATGTCGCTTCTGATTAAACTAATGCCACCTGTTTGTAGTCATGCTGAGTAATATTCTCCAACACGTTTTGATAGGACTAGCATAGAATGGTCTATGCGTCTAGCTCCACAGAAGTAGGTGATCTGATATATGCACACTGAAGTGGTTGTATGTGGAAGCATGTCGTTCACATTGTTTCGAAGCAGTGGGAGGCTAGAGAATATCACTTTTAGAGTTGCCACAGGAAACGTCTTTTCTAAGGAACTGGAGATTCTTCTGTTAAGACTATCTGCTGCTAAGTCTGCTTGGTTGATCCTTGATCTTAATGCTTCCCTTTGCTGTTGATTCTAATAATGTGTTGTTCTACTATTGCTATTTTGTTTAAGTGAAGTGAGTGGTTGACCTTAAGCTGTTTGTGGGAAACGTGGTTTTTACTGCTTGATTCTTATAAACACTTGAATATCAATCTGATGTTCACCAGTGACTGGCCCTTTACCAGGTGGTAGTTACTTGGCTTTTAGTGCGAAGCTGTCACCGACCAGGTTGGGTGTGAGGATAAACACTTACCGGAGATGACGTTGACTGGTGCCAGTAGCGCTACATCGTGAGTCAATTGGCAGAAATTGGAGTTCACGGGCTGGCGGACCCTTGGATCGGCGGATCTCAGTGACTTAATGCTCTGCGGGCTAGCTCACCTTGTAACTGTTAGGTCATGGTTTCGAACCCTGTCAGTGTGGTGGATGTGTACTGCCTAGGAGTCCCACACTAGGATGATGAAACAGCTGGTTGTTTATTACTCCCTGGCTGGCTTTCCAATGCTTTATTATTGTTGTTGTTGAGGTATTTTCGTGTTTTTCACGAAAGTTATTAACTGTTGAGCAGTACTACAGACTGTATCACATGAAACTGTGTTTTTGCTATTCTTATCGGCATAATTTTGGACTCTGTGTGTGCGTGTGTGTGGGTGGGTGGGTGTATGTGTAACTCGTAAAAGTTTGGCAAAACATGGAATAGTTCCTTTCAATCAACACTGAAATACTTGAATTTCGGTTATTATATTCATTCATTAAAAAGCTAAGTGTTTCGGAATCCTTCAGCAGCAGAAGAAAAGGGCCAGGCAACAGATCGTTTTATTACGAAAATCAACGCGTATTTATATATATTTTATGTACATTGTTAAGGCTTATGCAAGCAGACAAACACAGTCTTCTGATTGGTTGTTTTCGATAAATTTCGGAAAGTAGAGTCATTTATCTGCGAATCATATTTGCCCACGTTTAAGTCTGCTGTGATTGGTTGTTGAATCAGCCTAGATTAATATCTACCAATCAGCGTCGATTAATGTCTACCAATTGGCTAGCAGCCTGCTCTCACCACACTCGTCCCCCCGTCAAATAGCTTCATACGCAGACGTTCCGGCCTTCTGGGTGCTGCATCCTCTAGTTGAGGATTGTTACTGATCGGCTTGTCCCACTGTACCCATCGTTGGAGCTGACTGGCATTAACACGTTTCTGTTTGTCACCTCTTAGTTGTTTAGCTACTTCAACAAAACGTAGAGAAAAAAACAAACACATTTTTAAACAGCTTATCGAGGTAAGTGACAGCAAATTGACATTTTTCTTCTGATTTTAATGTCTTATTGTACTGTCTTATCTTTTGTTCCGTATGGAAATGCGATCCATTGTAACTATTGCTATAAGAGCGAAGTTCAACAAAAGCGTCCCAGGAGTGTTAACGCTCCAATGACCTTGAACACGTGCTAGTCGTTGGCTAACGGCATCTGTCATTATCATAGGATTAGGGTTAATGTAAGTATTGGGATTAGGGTTAAGATCAGGGTTAGAATTAGCATCAAGGTTAGAATTGCGGTTTGGATAAGAGTTATGATTAGGGTAAGGATTAAGGTTAGGGTTAAGGCTAGGGATAGATTTATAGCTGATGTCATTTATTTTAATTTGTTTTATTATCCACGTTTTCCTGGTAAGTAGTCACGTCTATCCTCTTACTGGAAACCGTCGTAATTCAACCGATGGCTGTTTTGGAAAACTGCAAGCAGGGTGAGAGAGATAAAAGATCCACAAAAACCGTTTATCTCTAGTCATCTCGGTGAATACTCATGTACAGAAACTAGTCTAACTTAACAATTAATACTCCTCGATATAACTACGACGTATTTTTAAGTCACATGTCAGAGAAAGATAACCTGATTAGTGCGTTTTCAAGCATTTTTTCTGTCAATATACATCATTCTTTTGTGCAAACATTCCTCATTTTTATGATTGGGTTGGCTGAAGGTCGCTCGTGCGTTCGCACTCATGGGACGTTATTGTTGAACTTCGCTGATATAAGTATAAAACTTGGGCACTGTGATGGTAGAGCATAGCTCCATTATGGATAAGATTTTATTTTGATAAAGTGTCACACAGTGTAGTGTGATACAGTAATATTAACTGATCACCTAGTTTTGGGCACAAATTATTGCCACTCATAATCACATCAAGTCACTCACACAACTTTCTTCCTTCATTTATATACATGAGTGGAATTGATGATTAGATATTTGAATCAAAATCAATATGGGATAATGCAGATTCAGAGATAATAATATGAGTGTTATCAATCCAGCATCAAAAATAAGATCCGGATTTTCAACTCCAATGTGAAGTCAGTCAGTGTTACTATACGGATCAGAGACTTGGCGAATCATAAAGAGCATCTCAAACAAACTTCAAACCTTCATTAACAGCTGTCTCCGCTCAATAATCAAGATCAGATGGCCAGAAAAGATCAGAAACAGGGATCTCTGGCAATGAGTGAACCAATCAGGAACCGATTGTGAAACAAATAGGCAGAAAGAAATGGAGATGGATTGGCCATACGCTGAGGAAACCATCAAGTGACATCACTAGACAAGCCATCACTCGAGTGGAACCCGAAAGGGAGGCGGCGAGTTGGTCGTCCAAGGGTGACTTGGAGGAGGTCATGCGAGGAGGAGATGAAAGCATGTGGACAGACCTGGAGCAGGTTGAAAAAGTTGTCAGAAAACCGAAGTCAATGGAGGTGCGCAGCTGAAGCCCTATGTTCCTCTAGGAACTAAAGGATATAATAATAATAATATCAATCCAGTACAATCAGATGGGAAATAAGACGAGTGTTTTTATAGTCAAAATAATTAACTTGTCAGAATGTTGTATGATGTACGTGAATAAAAATAGAATTTTAAGATTATTTATTATCCTGCTCTGATTTGACTGACTGACTGGTGGTAATAATATCTTCCATGCATATCTCTGGTATTTGTATTGAGTCATTTCTGTTGCATGTGTTGGGTGTAGATTATTTGATGAACCAGGACTCAGTAATCAACTTGTCTCTCCACCTACATAGATTACTTCTTAGAATTTTGACTTTGTCCCACCAACCCTATTGTGTGGTTGTGTGTTAAAATGCATGCAGTGCAATTGCTGAGCTTTTTTTTTGAAATTATTTGTAATTCTCATGTAATGTGATATAAGAACAAATAAGTCCATAAAGTGCATAACTAACTGACTGGTTTCAGTATAAAACTTTGCACAGACGTACACCAATGCAAGCTGCCATACTCTATGTGGTACAACAAAGCAAGACAAGAAAGTAAAGAGAGATTCAAAAGAGGGATAGTAATATGGAAGAACAATAAAAGGTCAATCACCAAGGAAGTTGAGCAAAGAAAAAACACTGGGCTGAACACTTCAAAAGACTTCTAAATCGTCCGCCACCTACAACGCGCCCGAAAGTACCAACAACGAAAGCAGATCTACCAATGAACATCGACCCCCCGACGAAATCGGAAGTCCTGAATGCAATCAAGATGCTAAAAGCTGGAAAAGCAGCAGGACCAGATGGAATTCCAGCAGAAGCATTGAAAATGGACCCAAAAACAACAGCGAACTTGATGACGCCATTGCTGGAGAAGGTGTGGAGGTAGGGCAAAGTACCTGAGGATTGGAAGAAAGGATACTTCTCCAAACTACCAAAGAGAGGAGACTTAAGTCAATGCAAAACTGACGCGGAATTATGCTCCTGCCAATCACAAGCAAAATACTAAGCCGCATAATCCTGGAGAGAATCAAACAAGCCAACCTGGATGAAAAAATTCGACCTGAACAAGCTGGATTCAGGAGAAACAAGTCATGTATTGATCAAATCGCCACACTACGAGTCATAATTGAACAAAGCTTGGAATCGCAGTCACCTCTCTATCTCAAATTCATCGACTTTGAAAAAGCCTTCGACAGCGCAGCGTCGATCGAGAGGTGATTTGGCAACTACTTCGCTACTACCAAGGGGTCCCATTGACAATTATACATCTCATCCAACAGTTGTACGACAATGCTGCATGACAAGCAATCGACAACGGGAAACTTACGGAAGCCTTAGAAGTGAGGACGGGGGTGAGGCAAGGCTGGCTGTCTACTATCACCAATGATCTTCCTGATTGCAGTGGACAGACAGTGGTGGGTAATGAGGAAACAGTCATAAAATGGAGACACACAAAAGACTTGGAGGATCTGGACTTCGCCGATGATGACACATGTCTGATTTCCCACAAACTGGAAGATATGCAAGTGAAAATCAACAAGTTGTCAGAAGAAGCATCCAGAAAAGATAGAAATTCAGGTGAACATAGAGAAAACAGAGGTGTGTGATGAAGATTCCTGGCCAACAGCAACATCAACTACAACAACAGACAACAATCAGCCAGCATAAATGGGAGGAATCTGAAAGAAGAAAACCTCCTTTACCTACCTGGGAAGCATCGTTTCAACTACAGGCGGACACTACTGACGAGGATATCAAAGCCAGAATCGGAAAAGTAAGACAAGCTTTCATTACTCTCAAGTATGTGTGGAGGTCAACAGCACTACTCAGCATCAAAAGTAAAATCCGGATTTTCAACTCCAATGTGAAGTGAGTGCTACTATACGGATCAGAGACTTGGCGAATCATAAAGAGCATCTCAAACAAACTTCAGACCTTTATTAACAGTTGTCTTTGCTCAATACTTTGCTCAAGATCAGATGACCGGCAAGAAAAGATCAGCAACAGGGATTTCTGGCAATGAGCGAACCAACACAGCAGGAACCGACTGTACAACAAATAGGCAGAAAGAAATGGAGATTGATTGGCTGTACTCTGAGGATACCATCAAGTGACATCACTAGACAAGCCATCGCTCGAGTGGAACCCGAAAGGGAAGCGGGCGGCGAGTTGGTCGGCAGTGCAAGGGTGACTTGTAGGAGGTCATGTGAAGAGGAGATGAAAGCATGTGGGCAGACTTGGAGCGGGGTGAAAAAGTTGTCAGAAAACAGAAGGCAATGGAGGTGCGCAGCTGAAGCCCTATGTTCCTCTAGGAATTAAAGGATACAATAATAATAATAACTAGGTTCAGAGAGAGATTACTAATTCCTCGTTTATCGAGTCCACAGCCAACACATACAATAGAAATGAATCCTCACTCATACCAGAGATATAGAAAATACTACTATCAATCAAATCAAGCAATCGAAAATAATGAAACTGTATAAACGAAGTAAGAAATTTGTGTGAGTAGTGCCTTGATATGATTATGAGCTGCAGTAATAAATTGTGCTCGAAACATGGTCATCAGTAAACATTACTGTATAACACTATGAGACTTTATCAAAATGAATTTTACCCACAATGGAATTATACTCTACCATCACAATGCACAAGTTCTATTCTTATATCAATATTGTTTTCAATTAGATCTCATCAGGTTTACATAACTTTGCAAGTAACGAAGCAGGATAGTTTACTGCATTTTCCGAACTTAATTTATTTATCCAGTAAATAATACTGTTTCACTGTGTGATACATCTAATAAACAAATTAATATATAAAATTATTTACTATCACAGTGCCCAAGTTTTACACATATATCGATACCAAAGTAATAGTAATAAAAGAGGCTGGATAAAATATTTTACTTTCGCTTATGGATTGATAGAGCCTCATTTGCATCAAGGTGTAAGCGAAATCCTAAGAGAGCCATAAAATCCACAGAATTCGCAGTTATGACACTATGGAAGAAGAGCTGAACACTGTGAAAAGAATCCTCCTCCAAAATGGCTAAGCAGAAGGTTTCATCAAGAAATTCATGAAAGCTAAACCATTTAAACCACCCACTATTTTATGCTACCGAAAGGTGTCTCTACTTGCATCTATAATTCAACGGAGATTCATCATTGGTAGAAATACTGAGGAACCGTCTGCCCTGGTCACTGAAGGAAACCTTATTGGCTGACATTCGACCAACTTTCTCTACGAAACCAATTATTCGCAAGAAAGTGAAGGATAAGCTATCACTGTTAGCTGCCTCATCAATGCGCATCTGCCAGTTAACGTGCACCACCTGTGGAGCTACGTATGTCGGCCGTAACATCGAACACTTACTAATCAACAGGCATGGATATATAAAGCAGAAAAGACATCCCCTCGACACACCAGCTCTATCCTGGAACACCTGATCGATCGAATCTGGACACCAAGCTAACCCACCCACGAAGTAACTTCAAAGTTATCCACTGAATACTTGAGAATCTCGCTTAAATAGTACGAATCAAACTTCTTCAAACAGAGCAGAAGCAGTAATGGCGGAGCAGTTCACATAATCAATTCTGAACTCTGCATACAAAAGAAGTTTGTTCAGTCATTAAATCTACAGTGGACGTGATTTTTCTCAACACCAAAAACTCAATTCTCTGTTTTTGTTTCTTAATTGTATTATTCTCTTCCTCCAACATCTTATTACCACCAGTGAGCACTGGACAACTGTGGGCACTGACACTATATCACTAAATGGTAGAGTTTTAATTCACAGCCCAGTCCGACTTACTGAATGGTAAGAGAGGTGTTATTGTAACCTGAAGATCCCTAGAAGGATCACATGTGCCTACTGTCGAGGAGTATCATACTAGGACGAAACAGTTGCCCAGTACTGTCTTGTTTTTTTTTCAATGAATCTCTAAGTGATATTTTTTAGTGTCGTAATCTGCTCTGAGATTAATCTTGATTCCTACAAAACTCATATTTTGAACATTAGTCAGTCACTAGTGTAATGTGTTTAGTCCTCCTCTCTTTGGTGTAGACTGGATTCTATCAATCAAGTTTGCAGTGTGGCTACCATGTCACTAGGTGGCTTGACATCACTGTGCACTGTGGATTGTTGGTATTAGATGGTTGAAGGCAATCGGCCACAGGAAGCCTTGGAAACCACCTAGGTTTCGTGTTAGTTGGCACTCATCAGTCAGCAAGGCAAGCTTATCTGCGACCTTGATGGAACTCACGCCCCTTCTGAGATTCGAACCCACGTCACCCAGTGCTGCAGTCAGTTAGAGATGTTGCCACTCAGCTATCCAGGCTCGCGACTGATCTCCTGTAGGACCGTATTGGATGCTTTGACTGGACACTAGTAACTAGGGTCATGAGTTCTTTCAAAGTTGCAGATACGTCTGCCTTGCTGAGTGATGAGTGACAGCTAACTAGCACGAAACCTAGGTGGTTTCCAAGGCTTCCTGCCGATTGCCTTCAACCATCTTATGCCAACAATCCACAGTGCACAGTGATGTAGAGCCACCTAGTGACATGGTAGCCACATTACAAACCTGACTGATAGAATTCAGTCTGCACCAAAGATAGGAGGACTAGACACATCACACTAGTTACCAGCGTCCAATCAAAGTTTGATGCGTTTTATTGAATAAAATTTGTGCATTATTTGCGGTCACTTTGAGTTTCATCATGAACACTATCAATTTTTGGGCGAAGCAGATGAATCCCGTCGGTGAGTCTCGATTAAGACGAAACATGCCTTCTGGATACCACTGCTAACTAACATCAACCAAATAACAGGTATCATGTATAATGATTTATTCTTTAAATTTGTCTAAATATTATTAATCTCAGTGTGCTTTTCTACATTCTTTTAACTGATTAAATCAGAAATAACTCGTAAGTTAAATCGTTTAAAAACCTGTTTATCTACAACGTATTATTAAACACAATAGTTGTTGAAAGTCAGTGTAATTCTTGGAATATCGGCACAATGAAACATGATCTGAATTCTTAAAATTACTGTTAAATTACGACTGCAGAAGATAAGAGACTTGGTATTATTATTCCCTTGATTTCTGAGTGGAACATAGGGCTTCAACGTTACATCTCAACTTTCTTCAATTTTCTGCTGTCCTTTCCAACTGGGTGGATCCATGATTACTGTTCATAATCTATCATCACCCCCCCTCCCCAAATGATATCCTCCATGGTACCCTCACACTGATGACCCACTCGTCGCTCCCTATTCGGATTCCACTCGAACGCGAGGTCATTCGATGGCCTCCTGAACGAGTGACAACCGATGCACATATTTGTTATGCAGTCGATTCTTGGTTGGTTTTGTCATCGCCAGAGTTTCTTGTTTCCAATTCTTTCTCGCCTGCTAAACATGAAATCTTCAGTATGGAGTTGGTAAAGGCCGTTGTTGATAAAAGTTTGCACTAATCTGTAGCAAATCCTTTCCGTGAAGCATAAGTCAAGTTTCAAACGCATATAGATGAAGTGACTGACTTCACATGTGTTGAAAATTCGAATCTTGTTCTTCATGCTGGATGGCTGAGTGAAGCAGAAGGTTTCTATACTGGTTTCATATTGATGAAGGTGTATCTTGCCTTTCCTATTCTGAATGGCTGGCTGGCTTTGACATCTTCATCCGTGTTGTCCAACTGCCTGTGGTTGAAACCATGCTTGCCTCCTGTTCAGATAAGTGAAGGCAGGAAGTAACCTCTGTCAAATCTCTCTCTCCCGTTGATAGTGATTTGTGCTGGTTGTTGTCGCTGTTGCTGTTGGTGCTGTTGGTTGTCTTCATCACCTCCGCCTCAATCTTTTCTATGTTCACTTGGAGTCAGTTCTGTCTTCGCTGCCTGCTTGCTTCTTCTCCCAGTTTGTTAGTTTTCGCCTGCCTGCCTTCCCTTAAGGCTTCGCGTGTTTGTGTTTGACACTAAACGCTACTCGTCCACATGCGAAATCCAGATCTTCTAGGGTCTTTTTATCAATCAGCGCAGCGGATTCTTGTCTTCTCACTCACTCTGCAAGCACAGTCTGACTCATAATCCAGTCCACGACAATCAGTTATATCAATGTGAGTGATAATAGGCAACCAGTTAGTCAGCCTTGTCTTACTCCTGTACTCAATTCAAAGCCAGACTTCGCTGAGTGAGTTACCCTTCGTGGATCACCTGACTGGTACTTGGCAGGCATTATCATATAGCTAGTTGTTGAACGAGGCTGATAACGATTTGGTCACTGCACGCCGTAGTATACTATTGAGACAGTTTCCAAATTACTTCTCGGTCAACGCTGGCTGTCGAAGGACTTTTCGAAGGCAAAGAAGGGATTTGAGGTAGAGAGTGAGATTCGACTGCCATTCTATATTTTGTTCGGTGATGATGATGCGCATAGTTGCAATTTGATCAGCAAATGATTTTTCTTCCTTAGATCCACGTTGTTCCGATAGGTGGTGGAGTTCTGCATCCACTGCATCTTTTATTCTCTCCAGGAAGATCAGATAGCTAGAAAGAATAAAGAACTTCAACAGATGGTGAACCAGTAGACAACTTATTGTCTAATAAATATGAAGATAGATAGGCCTGATCCAATGGCCATTCAATGCATGAATTCTAACTTCTGCTAAATCATGACATAGCGCGACCACTAGCCAATGTCTTATTCGATGAGTTACCACCTCACCTTCAACCTGCTGTACCCTACTGGCCACGGCTTCCCACTAGAACCCCAGATAACTAACTGCCTGAATAGGTCCAGTCTCTGGTGAGCATCACGAGTTGGGAGAAGTTGGAATTCATGGGTTGACCGGCCATTCAATTGATGGGTCCCAAAGGTTTAATGGTCTATGAACTTGCCTTGTAACCAGAATGTCGTGGGTTCGAACCCTAGCGGTAAGTGCGTACTGCTGAAGTGTTAGCTGGCGAAACAGCTGGCTGTCTGGTATCCAATTGGTGGTTTTCCAATAGTTCTCTAACTGATATAAACTCATGATGAAATCCTCTAACCAAATAAATCACTAATCTTTTCCAATGTTTATCAAACTCATGTAAGGAATAATAATTTTATCAAAAAGGTTGTTACCAGTAAAAATTGCATGGTTCAAGAACTCAGGAATGCTCATCAACCATAGGCATCGTCTGAGTTCGATTCTCGGTCAACAGATATACTCTCAAACTTTACTCAGCTGGTAATAAATCCCGTTAAAGAGGAAACTTTGGATTTGAGGCTACCAACCTCACCCTATAAAAAAAGTAAACACCGCTGCCACTGAAGCTTCTAAAGCCCAGGCTTGAAGCCCTAATGTTCTACTCAGGAAGCCAACGAAAGAGTAAGAGGACGGAATAATAAGCGTGATTATCTGTCAATATTCGCCAACTTGATTACTTCTGATAAAGAGATAGGCTTGTGAGGCTTTTTATCTACTTTCTGTATACAGCTGATTGATCTTATTATCTCTACTGTAACGACAGTAGACAACAGCAAGGCAACAGATCGCTTATTGAGAAAATCAACACATTTTTATAGATTTTTATGTACATTATTATTAGCGTTATTGTTAGCAGAGAAATAGCGTCTTCTGATTGGTTGTTTTTCTGCTGAAGGTTATTCTGTCACTTGTTTGTGGCCGTTTCTTAGACAGTTCGTTGGTATATCTGCTAATCGTATCCGCCCACGCTATGTCTGTTGTGATTGGTTGTTGAGTTCCTCAAGGTTAGACATTTGTTCTTGTTTTCCCTTCTGACCCGAATTCAAAACGTAAACATTGACGCAAATTGCTGTCTGCCAGTTTTGTCTTACAGACAGCTCTCACTACACTTCTAAAGTGAGAAGGGCCACGCATGGTCACTGTGAGGCTAGGTCAAGTTCACACAATCGCAAATGTCAACAAAGAGAAACAGGTGAACGTCATCGAGTGCCGGAATTCCAAACGGCAAGACAAACGAACCAAGAAGCCTGAACCGAATTCAGTCGAAATTCTTTGACGAGAGGACGAGTGTGGTGAGAGCTTCCTGCTGGCCAAAATTGTACGCAACAATTCACGTCAATGTTTACGTCCCGAATTGGGATCAGGAGAGGAAACAAGGACAATGACTAACAAAACCTTGAGGAACTCAACAACCAATCACGGAAGATGTAGTAGCGTGGGCGGATACGATTAGCAGATATATCGACGCATTGTCTAAGAAACGGTCACAAACAGATGACAGAATAGCTTTCAGTGGGAAAACAACCAATCAGAAGACGTTACTTCGCTGCTAACAATAACGCCAATAATAATGTACATAAAAATCTATAAATATCTATTGATTTTCTCAGGAAACGATCTGTTGCCTAACCTTTGTCTTCTGTCGTTACACTATTACCATTATTATTGTTATTATTATTGTCATTAGTATTGATTTTGTAATTTAAACTATAAAACGTCCAATATCTTTGAGCCATTTTTTTTAACTTTAGCAACTGTTGAAGTTACAGGTATGCAAATGTATAATTTTTGTTTCACAAGAGTTTTTCTTTTTTGGTTCTTAGACAATATCATGTAGGAAATTATTGAAAAAAAAAAGAGTAAAGGGTACTAAAAATCGATTTCTCTCGTGTGTGTGAGTCTTGACTTTCAAGTCTAATTATGAACACACTGTGTTACTTCACCATTAAATAGAAGCTTTCATATCATGTTGAATAACTTTTCAGGCACTCAACTTGAATAGAGTTAAGACTCAAGGATATTTCATGAGAATTGCGAAAGACTAGTCTGCAGGCTAGCAAGCGGTTTGCCTTAGTTTGTTATATAATTGAAGAGATTGTGAGCAGACAATTGGTCAGTAATTAATATCACCAAAGAATTATTGGAAACTAATCAGTACCCTTGGACATATTTTAATCTGGTCCGTTTATTTCGAAATCTGTATATTCCTATTCCTGTGTATATCACAGTAGTTGGACTGCAACAGCCTGGCTTCTCAACCTGAAGGCGCTGAGTACAATCTGCCGTGATCATGTGTGTCTACTACTGAAGCGTCTTAAACTAGTGCGAAACACCTATCGAGTATTTTCTGATTGCATTATCGATAGTTCAGTGGTAGAATGCTGATGCACCCCTAAACCTCGCCTGTTTTACTAACCCGGAAAAATGGAGGGTTGGATGTGAGGCAAGTAGCTCCATTCTGTAAGACAACAACACCTCTCTCTCTACCGAGACTTCAGATCTTGAAGCCTTATTTCCCATTCAGAACGCAGGGAATGAAAGAAATTTTGACTGGACACCAGTAACTACTGTGATGTGTTTAGTCCCCCTTTCTTTGGTGCTAACTGAATTCTATCAGTCAAGTTTGCAATATGACCACCATGCTACTAGGTAGCTTGCCATCACGGTGCACATTGACTTGATGATATTAGATGTTTGGAGGCACTAAAAAGAGGACTAAACACATCAAACAAGTTACTAGTGTCCAATCGAAGTATGGAATACAGTCCGGAGAATTTCAACAATAGCGTCCCAGAAGTGCAAATGCTCCAATGACCCTGAACGCATGCTAGTCGCTGGCTAACGCCACCTGTCATTATCATAGCTAAAATATCAACGCTATTCACCAACTATGCAGCAAATTTCACTGAGATCACGTTTTTAAGTACTGTTTGGACAATGTGTTAATAGCTCGTTAGGGTTAGGATTAAGGTTAGGGTAAGTACTGCAGTTAGGGTTAAGATCAGGGTTATAATTAGGATTAGGGACAGGGTTAGGACTAGGGATAGATTTAGAGTTGATGTCACTTATTTCACTTTGTTTTCTTATCCACATTTTCCTGCTAAGTAGTTGTCGATCCTCTTACTAGAAACCATAGTAATTCAACTGAAGGCTTTCGGGGAAGACTGCACAACAGGATAAGAGAGATGAACGATTCACAAAAACAGCACATCTTCAGTCACCTCGGTGAATACATGTACAGAAACAATGTCTTACTTAGTAACTGATACTCCTCATTATAACTGGGACGTATTTTTAAGTCACATGTCAGAGAAAGATACCCTGTTTAATGTGTTTTCATGCATTTTCTTGTAAATATACATCATTTTTTGTGCAAAAGTCACTTATTTTTATGATTGGTCGGCTGAAGGTCACTCGTGCGTTCTCATCGCTTGAGACGCTATTGTTGAACTTTGCCGACAGGCGTTCGAATCTCTCAAAGGATATGAGTTCCTTCAGGGTTGCAGATGCGCCTGCCTTGTTGACTGATGAATGCCAACTAGCACGAAACATAAATGGTGTCCAAGGCTTCCTGCCGATTGCCTCTACAAACATCTAATATCATCAAATGAAAGAAATTACTTTATCTAAATATACTATTTATGTAACGACAGAAGACAAGGGCCAGACAACAGATCGTTTATTGACAAAATCAACAGATATTTATGGGATTTTGTGTGCATGCTTATTGGCGTCATTGTCAGCGTAGAAGCAACGTCTTCTGATTGGTCGTTTTCTTGCTGAAGGTTATTCTGTACTACTTGTGATGGTTCCCCAGAAGGTTAAGCCATATATCCGCGAATCGTATTTGCACACGTCAAGTCTGCTGTGATTGATTGTTGAGTTCCTCAAGATTAAGCTTTGTTATTGTTTTTTCTCATGACCCCCATTAGGGACATAAACATTGACGTAAATTGGTGTCTACAATTATGGCTTACTCGCAACCAGCTCTCGCCATAGTTATACTGCTACCGTATATTCTTGCATTGGACTCACTCGGAATGTTTGCTTTGCACTATAAATCATAGAAAGTGAACATTTTGGGACGTTATGGCTGCCAGACTGATGACTGCTATCACTATTGCAAAATAGCCTCTATGATAAAGAGTTGCCATTGAAGATAATTATGATTTGCACTGATAATCAAGGGTTAATCTAATTGATAAATTAATATTCATTCAGATACTATAAGATTTTGTTTTCCACACTGATAGAACCACCTGCTACAGAAGCGTAAGTCAAGTATATTTTACTACAATTCATGTTAAGCATATATTTTGATTATTATCATTATTATTGTTTCCTTTGGTTCCTAGAGGAACACAGAGCTTCAGCCGACCGTCTCCGTTGTGTTCGGTTCTCTGCTAACGTTTTCATCACCTAGCTCCACGTCTGCCCACATGCTTTCATCTCCTCTCCGCATGACCTCCTCCTCCATGTCACCCCACTCTCGAACTGACGACCAACTAACTCGCCGCTTCCTACTCAGGTTCCACTTGAGCAACGACCTGGCGTGTGACGTCACTCACTTGATGGTTTGTTTTCCCAGAGTATGGCCTCCAATCCAATTTCATTTCTTCCTGCTTATTTGTTGTACAATTGGTTCCTACTGAGTTGGTTCGTTTATTGTCAGAGATCCTTGCCTGTTTCTGATCTTTTCTGGCCGACCATATAATCTTGAGTCGTATTGAGCGAAGACAGTTGTTGATGAAGGTTTGTGGTTTGTTCCAAGTGCCCATTGTGACTTGCCAAGTCTCTGATCCTTATGGTAAGTAGCACTGACTTCACATTGGAGTTCAAAATCTACATCTTATTTTCATTTCCAAACTGAATGCTGTTGATCTCCAGACTTCGTGAGAGTAATGAAAGCTTGACTTGCTTTGCGAATCCGTGTCTTGATATCCTCATCAGCTCCGTCCGCCTGTAGTTGAAACGATGCTTCCCAGGTAGGTAAAAGAGGTTTTCTTCTTACAGATTCCTCGCATTTATGCTGATTGTTGTCTGTTGTTACTTTTCAGCCAGGAATCTTCATCATCACCTCTGTTTTCTCTATGTTCATCTGGAGTCCTATCTATGATGCTTCTTCTGCCAACTTGTTGCTTTTCTTTTGGATATCTTCCAGTTTGTGGGAAATCAGACATGTGTCATCATCGGCGAAGTCCAGATCCTTCAAGTTTTTTGTGTGTCTCCATTTTATGCCTGTTTCCTCGCTGCCCACCGTCTGTCTGTCGCATTATCCAGTCTACCGTAATCAGGAAATTAATCATTAGAGATAGTAGGCAGCCATTCGGCCTTGTCTTACTCCCGTCTTCACATCGAAGGATTCCGTGAGTTTCCCGTTGTGGATTACTTCACGTGCAGCATTGTCGTACAACTGTTGGATGAGATGTATAATTGTTGGCAGCACCCCTTAGTAGTAGCGAAGTAGTTGCCAAATCACCTGTCGATCGACGCTGCGCTGTTGAGAAGGCCTTTAAAAAGTCAATGAAGTTCAGGTAGACAGAGGTATGACTACCATTCCAAGATCTGTTCAATGCTGGAAAATCCGTAGTGCTGCGATCTGATCAATGCATGACTTGTTTCTCCCGGATTCCAGCCTGTTCCTGTCGAAGTTTTTCGTCCAGGGCGGAGTGTTTGATTACTAAGTCTAATTTATAATGCTATAATACAGCTGTGAATAAGGTAAACCCAAAGGTGAGTAAAAACCACTGGATCTCCACCGCCTCATCCGAACTGATAGATGCTAGAAGACTTATTCCGGCGAGCTCCGAATTCAATGAGGAGCGAAAGCTGCACAAGAGGAAACTTACGAAAAGTCTCCGCAAGGACCGTGAACAGTGGTGGGCGACAAAAGCCAAAGAGATGGAGAAAGCTTCGAGGATAGGCAACACCAGGCAACTCTTTAGACTCATCAGGGAAACGGGTGGGAGAAGACAAATCATAAGTGAGACAATCTCGGAAAAAAATGGCACTATAATTAGCTCCCAGGATAGACGACTGGATCGTTGGAAAGAGCATTATGAGGAGCAGTTTAATTTGCCCACAGCCACGCTCAACCTTCCGAGCATCCAACACCTCCCTGAATGGGATATAGACACAGGTCCTCCATCCCTAACTGAGGTTACTAAAGCTGTCACCAATCTGAAACTAGGCAAAGCAGCGGGACCTGATGGAATGACTCCAGAGGTATTTAAGTACGGTGGAGACAGCTTACTGTCCGGATTAACTGAGGTACTAGGCAGCGTCTGGGAATCAGAAGAAGTCCCATCGGGTTGGTGTAAGTCACTGATTATCCCCATATACAAGAAGGGAGACAAGTCTTCCTGTGATAATCACAGAGGGATTAGCTTGACTAATATAGTATCTAAAGTCTTAGGCTCAATAATCATGCGTAGACTGAGTGGTGCTCGGGAGGCACAAACACGAGAGAGCCAGGCAGGCTTTAGACCAGGAAGAGGGTGTATTGATCATATCTTCACCCTCCGACAGATTCTAGAACATAGGCATTCCTACCGGCGTCCAACAGTCATTATATTTCTTGACCTAAAGGCAGCATTCGACTCTGTCGATCGAGAAGTTCTCTGGAGATGCTTGGCTGTAAAGGGAATTCCGAGAAAATATATTGCACTGATTAAGGCACTCTACTCGTACTCATACAGCCAGGTGAGGGCTTACGGCGAGCTGTCATCTGAACTGATGACGACCAGTGGTGTCCGTCAAGGATGCCCATTATCTCCTTTTCTATTCAACTTCATCATAGATGTGTTAATGGACTTAACCCTAGGTGACTTCAGCGACTCAGGGATTGACTTGCTACCGGGGAATAATCTCGTTGACTTGGAATATGCAGACGATATAGTCCTTCTAGGCGAAGACGCTGACAAAATGCAGAGTCTTCTAAACACCTTGAGCCGCAATCTACGAATGTTTGGCATGCGATTCGCTCCCGCCAAATGCAAGATGATGTTACAGGACTGGACTACATCGACGCCTAGTTTAAAAATAGGAAGTGAAGTGGTAGAGCACGTTGACCGCTTCACTTATTTGGGAAGTACCATCAGCCAGTGCCAACGGGTTGATCTCTGACGAAATCTCAGCACGAATACAGGGGGCTCGTTTCGCATTTGCCAGTTTACGCCGACTCTGGCGTAGACGAGATGTTCGACTATCGACCAAAGGGCGGGTGTACTGCTCATCAGTCCGCTCCGTCCTCCTTTATGGTTGTGAGACCTGGCCACTGAGAGTGGAAGACATGAAAAGACTAGCTGTCTTTGATCATAGGTGCCTGCGCTCTATTTCCCGTGTAAAGTGGCATAATAAGGTGAGCAACATTGAGGTTAGGCGTAGAGTTCTAGGTAAACAGGGGAAATCAATCGACGAAGTCGTGAAGTTACAAAGACTGAGATGGTTAGGACATGTGTTACGTATGCCAAGCCATCGCCTCCCTCGACGAGCAATGTTAGCGGATATAGGGTCAGGCTGGAAAAAAGCTAGCGGCGGTCAAACAAAAACTTGGCACCAGTCAATGAAATCCACAACAGTTGGTCTAAGCCACGTAGGAAGGTGTAGACTTCCAGGCTGGGGTCCTCGGGACGGTAAAAATCTATGGTTGGAAACAATTGGTGACATGGCTCAAAATCGTTCTCAGTGGCGCAGATGCATCCACTCCTTGTGACTTATGATCTCCAATGAAACTGTTTTGTTTTTCTTTATTACTCCTTTGTCTCACCCCTCTGCTCACTGTTTCTATTATGCTTTTCTTGTACTTTCTTCTCTTGCTTCGCGTGCTACACGGAGTGTGGCGACTTGAACTTCCGCACATTTTTGCAAAGTTCTATGTCAAAAACAGACAGACAGACAGATAATGCTATAAAAAGAGTCATCAGTGGTTTGACTAATCAATATGTAGATTTCACAAGCAACATTTTCACCTATAAAACGACTTGAATTTCTATGTGAAGTTTTATACCACTCACATTAAGCAATAGTGTTTACTAGCCAGATAACAATGATCTAAACTTCAGATGAGGCTTTCTGGGCTGTTAGATTTCACATGACAATTATTTTACCAATTTGAGAGATCTAACCACTGATGGTTTTCATATTCTGATATTTCATGAAAATTGGTCAAGTGCTAGGATGGATATCCCCACCGATGACACTGGTTGGTGCCGCCAGTCGCACTAAATCATGAATTGGTTGAAGTTAGAATTCATGGACTGTGGCCATTGAGAAGTTGGGTCCTGGTGGCTAAATTGTATACACGCTAGCTTCTATACCCTAGCTGTGGGTGCGTAGTGCCGATGATTCCCAAACTAGGCTGATGAAACATCTAGGTATCCAGTACTCCCTGTCTGGTTTTCGATGCTTCTCTAACTGATATCAATTCGTGATCAACTCGTCAGAATTGATCTGTTTGTTTTCAATGGGAATATGAGTTTTCTTAGGGTCATATGTAATCGATGTTGACAAGTTCCGACGAATACGTTGGCTAGATCAAGAGTTTCTTGTAGACTTAATATTAGTGCACAAAAAGTGGACTCACAAAAAAAACTTGGAGGGTCTGGACTTCACTGATCATATATGTCTGATTTCCCATAAACTGGAAGATATCCAAAAGAAAAGCAACAAGTTGGCAGAAGAAGCATTCAGAGAAAATAGGATTTCAGGTGAACATAGGGAAGACGGAGGTAAGCGATGAAGATTCCTGGTCAACACCAACAACACCCTCCTTCACCTACCTGGGAAGCATCGTTTCAACTACAGGTGGACAGAACTGGTGAGGATATCAAGGCACGGATTCGCAAAGCAAGTCAAGCTTTCATTACTCTCACGAAGTCTGGAGATCAACAGCATTCAGTATGGAAATGAAAATAAGATGTAGATTTTGAACTCCAATGTGAAGTCAGTGCTACTTACCATACGGATCAGAGACTTGGCGCCGCGTCGCGAAGGGCATTTCGAACAAACCACAAACCTTCATCAACAACTGTCTTCGCTCAATACTCCGCTGAAGATGAGATGGCCGACCAGAAAAGATCAGAAACAGGGAGGGATCTCTAGCAATGAGCGAACCAACTCAGTAGGAACCGATTGTACAACAAATAAGCAGGAAGAAATGAAATTGGATTGGAGGCCATACTCTGAGAAAACAAACCATCAAATGAGTGACGTCACACTCCAGGTCATTGCTCGAGTGGAACCTGAGTGGGAAGCGGCGAGTTAGTTGGTCGTCAATTCGAGAGTAGGGTGACATGGAGGTCATGTGAAGAGGAAAGGTGATCGGTAATGCCCGTATGACTGTTAGGTCTTAAAAAATATGTCTTTATTAATAATAACAGCTTTATTCTGAGCACTACCTATATATTGTGCAGGATTTTCAGGAGTGTTTCTTCCGTGATATTTTCTTTCTGTACTCGACCTCTAGATACAATGACTACAAACTATAGAATATCAAAGTGAAACGATTTAATGCACGGATTAGTGACCTTGAGCAAGTAGTGAGATGCATCCGTAGTAGATAGAAGGAATTATGAATGCTGTCCACGAATTATGTGGCGAATTTAAACTATCATAGCTAAAATCGCAGCGACCTTGAACAACCAATCAGAATTCAGATGGGAAAAGTCTCATAATCGTTGTAAAATGCACTAAAAATATACTGCAAACACGCTATCATACTATATAGTTGTCGCTTATGTGTGTTGTAAGAATGTCTCTCAGTCACTACACAGATGATCTATAAAAGAAATCATACCATGTGCGGCAGATGCATTCGTCAAGGTAACTGTAGGTCATGGTACTTTGATATCTATTGATATTTCTGACACTGTTCTAAAACCCAATCCTAACCTCAATCCAAAAAGCCATAAGCCTACCTAACAGTATAGATAGATTTACAAAGAAAAATACCGTGGGAATAAGTCGAGTGCTGTATACACCTCCAAACCCCAAAAAGACAGGCATAATTTGATTTGGAATGACCTTTCATAGCATTCCCTGTATCGGATTGGTTCTTGGAGATCAACTTTTGAAAGACCTTGACTCTAGGTACGATACTTCACTGAAAATCCCATCCAGTCGGAGAATGCAAATGGGCAATTATGGTTGGCGAAGACTTGGACAAAATGCGACAATAATTCACCCCATGTTTTAAACGACAAAATCAACCAGTCTTTTTTTTCAATATTTCTCCAGTTACCAACCACTTCGTAAACTTTCACTCTTTACAATTATTAGTAGAATTGATCTGCTTACAGTTACAATCGTCGTGACTACCGCCATGAGATTCTAATACCTCTATAACTTCGTATGCCACTGATATAAAATAAAGCAAATGCAGTGAGGGAATAATATATTCTAGGCAGTTGAACATAGGTATCTTAAAAATAGTAACTAAGGTGGAAACGTTTACAAAAATGACTTCATAAATTATTTTGAGGAGAAAGTGGACAGTGATTGGCTGGAACCACCAGGTTGACTGACGTTGACGCACACCTGCAATACAGGAAACAGTTGAATACGTAGAAATAATAATAATAATGAAGTAGATAAAAAAAGAAATGTTGAACACTTATTCATTAAAACTCTACCTCTTCTGATAAGTGATCCTTTTTTTTCGAAGCCGTTGATCATGACACCAATTTTTAGTGGCTTTGACTATCGCATCAAGTGTTTCCTTCTCGTTGCGTCCAAGTCCTAACTGTTTACGAATGATGACATCTAAACACGTGTGATTAGTATACACAAGATCCTGTTTGTTTAAAGTCAACATACCAATTATAATTTGGAAAAAGCTATAGTTGCAGACACCAATCTTGTTTGAAGTACCCTTGTAAGTCATCATTCTTGCCAGGCTTTTATCAAGGATTGTACTCAACAAACGACGGGTAGATCTCATAGCGTCATTTTGTACCTTGAATGAAAGTTGGCACATCTAAAAAACGTAGTTATTAAGGGAACCAAAATTGAAATTCTTTACTATTTGTTCAAAATACTGCCTATGTTTCAGTTTGCTATCGAAAATTTGCAGCACAGCCAATGATTTAATCGGTAGCTTAACAACATCATGTTCGTAATCACCAATCGTGCGTTGATTGATAATTGTAAGCATGGAGTCGATACACTGGACCATCTTTATATTCGATTCACAAAGTGTCTTCACAGCCGCTGTTTAGTAATTTCTAGGATAAACACAAAACTCTAAGATTGAACTGCACCTTCCAAATTTTTATAGGAATTACTGCAGTCTTGAGGTGCGCCAACATCCTTGGGTGATCTGTGAAAGAATTACTATTTAAGGTCGGCATAACTTACATAATTGGGGTACTTGTAGTAGCACTCCTCACCCTTCCCTTGTTTTCGTACAAATGTGACTTATATGGGAGGGCTGAAAAGGCATCCCGAAGACTATGGTCAGCGACGTCCTTAGCTAAATGTTGAAGAGCATACAGCAGTACATTGTAAACCAACTCATCAGGGTAAAGACTATCAAAACGCAGTAGATATTGCCTAAGCTGTTGTTGTTTCACAGTGTTGCACAATTTATGGTGATACCATGGATGACATAATATTAGAAAAACACTTGTGAACAACCTGGAGGAGTTAGCGCACAGTGGAGCGGGTAAAATGTCATGTAATATAGGAATTCTAAACTTTGTAAGTTCTTAGGAATGCAGCTCTCTGCATCCCCCGATTAATGCAAGCAATTGTGTTATTGCTTAAACCCAAATGACGTTGTTTAACCACTCGCAACCATATACCCACATGCCATCTTAAAACACCCAAGCAGACTTAGTGCATTTAATTCAATGGGGAAGCTCCTAACCATTTCAGTTGGCACTCTCTTGAATACAGACGTGTCACTGTAGTAATCGAAGTCCTCCTTATTCCATAAAGCTATCTGTTCTACTGCCACTATTCACATTGCTGACATTCTTTCCTGCAACGCAAAATTGTTTGCATCCTCCCCTGCTGTTGTGACTAGCTTATCAGAGATAACGTTGTGAAGACGACAGTCTATATGCCTATCACTGATATGCAGACCGTGTGCATATAAATATTCCATGTCAGTGACCACTGGTAGCAAAAACCTATTGGAGTTTGACGGTTTATGAAAACCACCATTAACACCAATAAGGAATATATCACTAAGAAACGATTTCACGAGTCTACCCAATATCTACCAAACTTGTTAGGTATCGTGTAAAACAGTGACAACGCATCAACATTCAGCTGCAAACTCATACTATCAAAAGATGCAAAATGACACCAAAAACTCAGTATAGGCGTGAGTGCGGTGTACAAACTAATAGGATAATAAACTCCATTACCGATAGCAGTTGATGGGCAGGATTCACTAATTTTCAAAAGCTTTCTTATATTTGTTGGTAAATTTGGTAGATGCCGTTTAAACAGTCGCATTATCTTCTCGCCATCAGCAATTGAAGTGTTGGTGGTCATCATAATCTTTATGACTGTAGCCTCAAGGTTCGCCTTCGAATTCCTTTCATTTGTGTTATTTCTAGAAGATTTATCCCCGGACGCTGCCGCATCAAATGTATCACCTTATAAGTAGTCAACTACTGAAGTTAAGAAACCTACTTGGTGGGGTTTTTTTCATGTCAGCATGCATATTTTCTGTGCTACTAGGAGTTGGATCTAGCGGACATTCACCAGCTCCAATTCTGTGGTCGGGAGTTATTCTTTTAGCAAGATCACCGAGCAATTGCAACTTTAATCTTTTATTTCTTCTGTAAATTGTGGACCGATGACATGTCTCTTTCTCAAACAAAACTGAAGCAAGAAGGTATATTAAAAAGAAATAGTACTATGGCGTATAGGGTGATTTCCATCACTGACACTACGTGATACTTCACTCTCAGTATCCATTATTATAAGCTTAACATTAAATATTGCACAACCAACGCTTTAATGCCTTACCGCGCTGAGTACACGGTAATGTATTCGAAATCGCGTTTCAAGATGTTCACCTTGACACAAACAAGCATGTTATAATGAGTGAAATAAAATAGTCTGACATTTTCTTCACAGATTTCCCCAAAGGATAGATTTGATTTGTATTAAAATGCGACTGTAATTTACTTTACTTGACTGAGTTAAACTGTGATTGACTACGCTACAAAAACATTATCTCATATATCTTCCCACTTTACCATGTTTTCCATATATTCCCACATTGCCCATGTCTCCAGGAGAAAAGTGCCCTCTTTTTCCCAGTCTCCCCATATCATTTTTGAAAATAGCCCAGCTCTTCCTACCTTGCCCACTTTAAAGCAGGAGACCGCTCCCTTTTTGACTCACATATCCCAGGTCTGAAACAAATTCTTATTGGAAGCCAACTGTCATTCCTGGGTATATTCAAAAAGTGGTCAGTTAAGCGGAGGATTTTTTTGATCCTTTAGGTGAGACTCACACAAAGTCCATCGAAAGTTTCTTCAGAGACTTTCCACTCCATGGAGTCACCTAGAAAAGTGTATCAGAGCGGTGAATGGGGTCAGAAGTCCAAAAACACGATGATTTGCAGTTATCTCGAGGAATTTTTGAGCAAGAATTGGAATTTTTGGGAAACTGGGAAGTTTTCTTGAAATATATGCAGGGATGCCATTTTGTAAAACTACTTTTGAACATGGAATTACCCTAATATAAACTCTTTTAAATGACACACTTCCGCTTCAGACACATCTGATTGGTTGACGGAGGTTTGTTAAGGTCTTTATTAGGTAGTATCGTTCTAGGCTGCTATAGTTTATAGTCTACCGGATATGATGCCTCCACGATAATGCTTTTCCCCAAGCTCAGTTGAAAATGGTGAATCAGCTGGGCTTCAATGTTTTGAATGCTAGTGAGGGTAAAAAAAATACCTGCAAGGTTAAAATATGATCCACCGAATGGGAATGCACGAGTGACCTGGGGATGAACAATAAGAAAATCCAGTGGCCTGTACACAAAAATGACGTGTATTCACAAGTGAATTATATGCAAACCCATCAGACAGGATAGCTTCGCCTTAAATTACTTAAAAATGCCTCCCAATTATAATGAGGAATGTCAGTTTCTAAATTAGACCAGCTTCCGTAATGTATGAGTATAGATGTGATTGAATATGAGTTCCTTTTGTAACCCATTAACCGCTCCTAATCCGTTTTTCAGTCTTCCTGAAAAGCCCTCGATTGACTCAGTTTGGGTTCCACTAAGAGGACCGACTACTATTGGCCAGAAAAATGAGGATAATAAAAATGAAACATCTATTATTATTATTACTATTATTATTATTATTACTATCTCTTTTCTCTTGTCGACGATATCGAAGGACTAACTGGCGAAAGGATCAACTCCAATCACAGTAGTAACAGTCTTAACATACCTCATACTACAAACCACATATAATTAATCCCAGCACTACTCCCTTTGGAGTCAACCATAGCTACGACAGTCGAGTCGCGGGACAAGCTACGCAGAAGTTTACCGAAGATCAGGAACCTATACCTTACAATCAAGAAGCAAGCACAAAGAAATCAAATTGGTTTATACTAGCTCGTAAAAACGACGTTGGATATTGGATCCAGACCCTATTTCCAACTCCAAACATAACCTTAATCGTAAACCTGACTTTCACTGCCAACTCTTATCGTAAACGTAACCCTTACGAGATATCAGCACATTATCCAAATAGTACTTAGAACAGAGATCGGGATGAAATTGCACCTCACTTCACGGACAGCGTTCATCGCGGCGCTATAACCATAGTAGGTCTCGCAATCCAAACAGTAAGCGTTCAAGGTCACTAATGCATTTGCACCCCTGGACCGTGGTACTTAAACTTTGACAGGGCACTTTGGCGTTATGGGTAATATTTTAGTAGATGAAAATAAGGCGAATAAGGAGGGCATATAGAGGTGGTAATGCAACATGACCACTTGAACTGGCAACACCTTGTTTCCAAATCAGCAGTTTGTGAACACCTTATATAACCCCACAGTATCATTAGAGGTCATATTTTGAACGATTCAAACAGAGTGAGCAAGAGAAATTATATGCGATATAGTGATGGAGGCTCTTGATAGCTCAAGTTCTTAGCAATCAGCTATCCCGCGTGAGACAAATCACTCTAATTACACGAGTTATATTAGTCGTTCAACAATTTTCCGAGTTAAATGACTTTCTGTTGATCAAAAATGTTCTATAAGAGGTAGGCAAGAATGGTAAATTTAAGCGTATTTTCCAGTCAGATTGATGTGGCAATCTGTGAGAACTAATCAAAACAGAAAAGCACTGAACACTGTTGTTAATGCATACACCTGAAAGTTCTTAAAGTAGAGTGAATAAATAGCTGTCCAGTCCTTATTGACTTGAAACAGTTCGTGAAGAAGTCGTCACCGAAATAAATTAAATTCCATCTAACGCTATCCAACACTACTGAAAAAGTATAGAGTGCAACATAGGCAACACTGACCGTGTTACTCTATCAGCACAGTGTTTTTATGTCTTATGAGAGCTGATTTGAGGAACATACACATTCGATAGTAGAAATAATTAAAAAGACGGTTGCAGCCGAAGAAATTTCTCTTTTCAGTTAAGTCACCAGCTATTCTGTAAATACGTGTGTGCACAGGAAATGGGCAAGAAAGTCCCAGAACTATTTCTGTTGGAAGATCAAACCATAACAAGCGACAAGATCACAAGTAGGAGCTAAAGAGTAATAATAACAAAAATAAATACGCAGAGAGGGTGAAAAACATGGTCGGACAATAATTATTGAGGAAAGTGGCCGTTTATGTTGGCCATAGCAAAGACATAGGTTGGATGTATTCCTTTCGAATGCCCGTGGATGGCACAGCGGCAGAATGCTCGCCAACTATGCATGTGTTCCGCTTTTCGATCCCCAGCCGACTCACTTCTAAACCTCGCTGAACCAGTAATAAGACTGGTAAAGAAGGAAGGTTGAGCTTGAAGCCAGCAACCCCATCCCTTAAGAATAAACACTTTTTTACTGAAACTTCAAGCCTCTAAATCGAAGCCCTATGTTCCGCTGGGAACGTAAAGGAATAAAAAATTCCCCTGAACAATAACACTACCCTTAGCTTTTATATTGCTATTGCCTCACCTACACTCACATATCCTGATCCTGCTCCTTTTGATAGGTGCAATCGGGTCTCGTATATGACTCTGAAGGATTTCTCAAATAGAGATGAGTGCCTTATGTCCACTAGATGTCCTCTTACACAGCCATATACACACCTATTATTCTCTCTTCGCTAGTTAGGCCAGATTGTGCTAGTGTGTGCACTTTACAAGCTGACGCATGGTGCGACCAATATACCGAGCTCCACAGGAGCAGAAGAATGGTATATGTATGATAAAGTTGGCCCCTGCGACCGCGTGTCTTCCGCATTCTGGGTAGACATTTTCTCGGGAGAAAATATTACTCGTATGCTGCTAGTGGGGTATATTATATTCAAAGGTTTTGAAACCCTGTTTTCGCACAATTTCCGCCTCAGCGCCACATATAAATCCGAGATTCGACAGCAGAAAAGTTTCTGAGGCGACCAAAAGCTGTTTAACAGCTTTCACCGGTTTCACGTTCTTGTCTTTTAATGTGGATGTGAAATCATTTTCTTTCACGATTCTTGGCGGATTTCCTAACTCTTCCCGAAAAGATTCCTGGATGCACATTTTCTGGGTTCGGTATTTTCATCCAGAATTCCTGTTGACTTTCGTTTTCATTAGGTTTTCGGTCCCTATTTGTAATTTCGCTATTCGTTATAATTTCACCTTCGTGCGACAATAGTTCTGCAACTTTCTCATCCCTTTCCCACATTTAAATGAACTTGCAGTATAGTTTATGACTGCATCGAGAGGAAAACTAGTTCAATTCACTGAATTTATGAAGTGATACTACTAGGTAGACATCGCATTTTGTTATATTCAGAATCAATCAGACAGTCGCATGTATAGCCCCCATCGTTTATAGGTCAAAAAAGTCATGTTTTTGGCAACCAGTTACCAGCAACCGAACAGCATCTAGTTAGCCCTAAGGCATCGCCGAGACTTTCATAATAGAGGCCAGTATATCAACAGAGATGAACTTTTCAGCTAAGTGAAAATCAGTAAAAAATGTTGATATGACAGTCAGTGCAGCCAGCCCCAATGAACTTCCTAACGGGTGAAGTAAGAACCTACTATCCTAATCGCTATTCGTAGTGATAACCACCACAGCACTCTTCCATTGACATGAGACTCAAAGAAGGGAAGAAAACAGACCTTTAAAAAGAGCACTTCTACTGTCTCAGGTCCACAGTGGGGAAAACTAGACAGTGGCTCCATACACTGGCCTAAATCATCCTGATATAAACGGTCCACATTTGATAAGCTAAGACAGCTACCAACAGAGTTCACAGGTCAAAAGTGTGGGGAAAATGCAAACGTCACTGTGCTGTAAAAATGGAATATCTTAGAAAATTTAGGCACATATATAAAAAATATGAAATAATGCTTTCGACGAACAACTACTTCTGTGTCATTTTTATTGAGGGCATAAGTGCAAACTGCAAAAGGATTTCAACAAGAAAATCCATCTCTTTTCATGATGCAGTGATTTTCATTAGACAGCACATGGTGAAGAGGGTACTTCGCGAATAGTAACCATTTCTTCGCAATTAAAATCACAGTTTTTGCTCAGAGGGGAAATAATTCCGCTGGAAGACCTCATTTTCATTTTCAAATCCTACTTATATAACAGAAAAATGCATTATATTTTCAGTTGTTTTACTGGATTGATAATTTAAACTCCACCGGTTTGAATCCGATCGTGGTAAGGTTTTCAACTTATCTTCAACCAGTAACAGTGTAACAAACCAAAGCTAACTGAAGCCTTAAATAAAGCATAATTATATTTCAATAGTTTACACACAATGATGGTGCGCCGGTGGCACAGTGGTTAGGACGCTCGCCGACCATTCACATGGTCCGGGGTTTAATCCCCGGCCGACGCACTCCTTTACCTCGGTAGGTCAGAAATAATGCTGGTAAAGAGGAAAGGTTGGGCATGAGGCCAGCGACCCCATCCTGTAAAACTAAACAATGCTATGGAAACTTCAAGCCACTAGCTTCAGGCCCTGTGTTCCACTGGGAACGTGAAGGAAAAAAACACAATGATTAGTTTTTTTATTGAGTATTTTGCTCGAAATATTCAATAACAAAACTTATCATTGTGTGTAAACTACTGAAATATAATTATACTTTATTTAATCTAATCCACATTGCTCAAACTAACTGAAACCATTTCATCATAGTTTTAATATGTTGATTTCTATCTTATATTTAGAACATTTTTGAGACAAGTGTAGTGAGTAATAATATTTTGGGGATAGTTAATCAATTTGTGTTAGATTATGCGTTTTTGTAAGGATCTGTTTTGGCATCCATGTTTAATTCGTCATAAACTAATGATATTTAGAGATCATTGAATATAAGGGAGCGCTGGACAGCTGTCTTGTCCCTGTGCAACGGACAGAGCAACAGACTTGCACATCATGAAAACATAAATCCAGCTGGACAGAGAACGTAAATTCGTCCAGAATCAAATTTCAGAGAGTACGCTTTCTTTAACATCAATTCCTCAAATTGTTGTATCTCGTATTTCAGGCGGCTAACTTCCAAATGCCTTACCTCAGTGAGACGAAAAAGCATTAATTAGTGCTCATTTGCAGGTTCTGTTTTCGTCACCCTAGCTCTCTAATAGAAGTCAGAATTCATCGCCTGCTGATTTGTAGCCCAAGTGTCTGAGTGGTAAACGACCCGGCCTTGTACCCTGAAGGTCCCGGGTTCTATGCATCACAGAGTGATGAGTTTGTACTGCCGAATGGTTGCAAACCAGGACGAAACGGCTGTCCAGTACTTCATGGTTTCCAGTGGTTTTCTGACTGAATTCAGCAATTGATCAGCCATTAAACAAACCATAATTTGACTGGTTAATCACCATCTATAAGTCTCCATTAAAACCTTTAAATAAAACCAAACTAGCATTTACTTTTGCGTTGAGTATTCACTGAGATGGACTCAATTGATTGACAGATTTTATTCATTCACCTATATAAAGTTAGTTATTCCATTAAATTCCATATAGGATAATATAATATAGCTGATGTAAATGCCTTACCTGCATGTTTCCAAAAGACCGAATGACATTTTCCAAACTGGCTCAATAATGATTAAAGACACAAACAATCAAGGTGTCTAACCAACAGTGAAAAGCATCACTCACGCTCGTCGATAGGGATCTAAAATCAGTCTCTTTCAGTTATCTAGAAGGCACTATTTCAACCCCTGGCAGTGACACGGACGAGGAAAGCAAAAGGAGGGACGAAAATGCAAGACAGATCTTAATTCGTCCGATATCAGTGTGGAATTCCACTGCACCTGGAGTGGGGAATAGAACGCAGATCTCCGACACTAATTTCAGATCAATGCCTCTCTATGGTTTAGAGACTTGTTGCGTAACAGAAATAATTTTGAGCAGCCCTCGAACTTTCATTAACAACTGCTTACTCTTCATAATTAATGTAATATGGCCAGCCGGAAAGGATTGGCTACAAGTAATTCCTGAAACGAACCGGCCAAGTCACCATCATCCGACAAATATGACGATGGAAATGGAGACGGAATGGACATATACTGTAGAGACTGTCAAGTGAAATCACTCCCCGAGAAGGCCTTTGAGTGTAGCCGAAGTAGAAAACGACTGGTTATGTGTGGGTCCGAATGTCAAATGGAGGAGTGAAAGCTGATGGGCAATCGCTGAGACAGCTGGGACAGACTGTGGGGAAGAGAGTGAAATAAATCTGTGCAGTGGAAACCCTATCTTCTGTTCGGAATCAAAGGGGGTAAGAACAGTCAAACAGCAAACCAGTGGGATATACAGTTCATATAGCTAACTGGCCGTTCAAGAGGCTCCTGTTTTCAAAAGGGAGGATGATTAGTCTAATCGTATATTTCAACAGCCAGAGGCGTATGATATCTGATTGCTTAAATCATTGGGCTACCGAAATTACTTTCCTCCAAACTGGTTAATTTCATCTGGATTTATCATTGTTTAAATCGTCCAGTTACATCAAATGACTTATACATAAACTTGCGCGATGATTTATCTTGCTCCCAAGCAAACGCTGTACAGTTCTTCAACGAAATGAAGATATACTTCAGATTATTACTTTACATGTGAATCCTGGGTGAAGAAACAAATACTTTGGAACTGAATACACTGAAAATTTTTGTACCGTATATTCGCATACTGTCTTATATAAAGCTTTACCATTATAATTATTATTAAAGTGATTGAAAAGTGTTGAATAAAAACAAACTACTTCCACCCTGTGTTTGAGATTTTACGGCGCCTCTTTTGAAGTTGCAGCAGCGACAAATTCCCAGAATTACTAGCCTATTATTTGCGTTATTCAACATCGTGTGCCGACCCCCACCATTTAAGTCTGCTGATCAGGCCGAAAAAACATTGTTCGGCATTCATGCTGTCGTGCCACGTCTGAATTTTTGCGCTTTCGCTCTTAATAGCTTGACAGAAATCTTCGCACTACGTTCCTGACCTCGTATTATATTTGTCGAATTTTCGATGGTCAATCTGTCGTTTTAATACTGCTTTCGAGGAGCTGTCTGGTCTAATTAGGACCAGCAACCAGGGAGTTGGAGGTTGTATACTTGCATTTAGACGTAGCGTCTTTTATACTATCATCGATACTACTCGTCTTCAAACTGTTGAGGTCACAAACGAAATTCTTTGCCCCGAACAATGATATTATAGTAAACTTGATTAAGACGTAATACATGGTGGCGTTTTTCTAATTCTTTCTGGTTTTTCCCCCTTTTATCAAGTAATGCATTCTCCACAGCTTTGGTGTTGAAAGTGGAGGAATATACCGCAAAGCTTCTGGGCACCAGTGCTGTAGCCAAACTTATACACTCACTTTTATTTAAAAATTAAAAAACAACAATCTACAACTGCTTTCCATCGTTCTTTTGGTTGACCAGGTTCTTGTTTTCCCAGTAAATGACTACTGTAGATACTTTGTTAGATTTTAAAATCTGAATATAAATCTGTTGAGTGAAATGGTGTTTACTGATCATATATGGGTACTACAAATTTCAAAAGATTCATTAATGAAAAAACAGTATTCTTTTCGATAATCTTTCCACTCCACCTACTAAAGTGAAAAGTGTCTCTAGGTGACATGTGTAGCTTTTATCAAATAATAGTCTAATATATTGTCACCCTTGTGTACGTGATAGACTCAAGTTTACAGGCGTCGTCAATATGATGAACAATATTTACATGGAGTAGGCACACTTACAATTATTCAGTTGCATAAGATATACATATATATAAGACAAGGCAGTGGAATAACATCTATAAGGATACAGTATAACACTTAGCATCCCCATCTTATGAATTTAGCAGAAATGCGCGTAATAATTGAAGGTTGCGTTGCGGTCCGTAGGCACAGTAGTTTATTCATAAAATGCTAAAACTGTCATGGAAAACACTAGTCACTTTACAAATAACAACTTTTGCAGAGATATCAATTGCGATTGACTCACCACGGCAGTGTCCAGTTAAATATGTACAGAAGCGTTATTACATCAACGGCAGCCAGCAACAGGCAATTTCTTCAAATCACACGCAGTTAGGAACCAGATCAGCGGAAGACTATTTCATATAAAATTACAAATTGAGCATTCATGAGCTGAAAATTACTACCAAATACGTCAATGAGATTTGAATTGCAAATACTAGGATATTTTCGTTATTTCCTAACTTTCCAAATTTGATGGCGCTCTGCAGCCAGTGACTGAGGTTTGATTACCGCCGTGGAGTTCGTATTACACAGCAGTCAGTAAGCGGGCACCACAGTAGGATGGATTAGGGCTCACTATGGTTTTCAGATACCTTCAGATTCTCGTTAAGTGGTCAAATATTTATATTTTCTCTCAACGTCCAGAAAATCAAATGCGAGCCAAAGCTGTGAAAAAAGGAGACAAAGGACAGCAGGGCAGAAAGAGCACAAGGAGTCCTCAAGAAGTGGTGTGTATATGCATACATACATACATACCTATATGCATGTGTACAGAAACTATGGACTTTATTGGTACTAATCAGTTCTGTTATGCTAAATTCTATGTTACTTGTATGAGCCAATATTTATATACTGTTTACAAATTTTAGCTAGTTCTTCCAACAATAATAACATTTAATAATGAGGTTTGTTGTTACTCATAGAACCAGGTATATATGTGTAATAAAAAAGCAGGTGCGTGAGCTAAGTGGAAAAGAGCACTGTCATATTTCAGGAGTCCAGTGACTGAGGAGATTAGTACTGGGAATGGGATTGCGTTAAGCGCAATGGCTGGTAGTCTATTTCAAATGACTGAAAACTTATTTAAGAAGTCTGACAGTGTTCTGTAGCAAACGGGTTGTCATGATTTCTAGTACTGTACCCGGTCACAGAGGCAGATTAAGTTGTTGGCCTAGAGGATCGGAAGAGAAGGTCATTTAGCTTGTAGTGGAAAGTAAGGTTCAGCTTAGGACGACTTTGTCAGGTCATTAGAGCATCTGATACCGAGATCTACTACTGAGTTGAGCTTGGATAGTTTTTTCCCATTCACTTCAGTAATTAGGTACAGACTGCTGTAGCTAATTCAAATCCAGCCGCATTTGTCAATATTGAAGTATAGACAGGATTCAACACACCACTATGCAAGAATACTTGGCTTATTACGTATTTTAATTGCCATATCATTTAATTCATTGCTGTAGCAGAAATAAACGACTTTGAGGTCGTCAGCATACAGGAGTGGTTTACTTGAGGTGAAGCAGTTACAAATGCTGTTAATGTAGATTATAAGTAGTGTCTATAAGACTCTACCCTATACATCCCCACTCATGGTCTGCCTAAGATGGGACGACACAAGTTCGACTGCCACTGTTTGAACCTCATCGCTTGGAAGTGACTTAAATCAGTTAAGTAATGAATTACGATTTCCACAGAAGTACAAGTTTTCAGATAGGATACTGTGAGATACCATGTAAAATACCATTGATATGTTGCAGTGGAAAACAGCGACTAGTTTACGTGCTTTGTGACTACAGGTGATACATTTGGAAATAATAATAATAATTTTACTTTCATATAAACATAAATTTACATGAAAATGCATGCCATTTTTACAGGCACGATCAAGGATGTTATAATGTCAAATCTTAAATTGTCTACAAGTTAATAATGTTTCAACAGTTAAATATTTGATACATATATATAATTACACTCATTGTCTGAACCAGGCCGTATAGTTATTGAATTGTACAGTTGTCCTCCAGGTTGAGCGGGAAAATCGACTTCGTTTCGTTTTCATCCCGTGGTTGTAGGCATACGATAACCAACCAATATTGAGGTAAGTACAACGTTTACAAGGATTGGAAGCTGTTTTAGAAAAGTTAAAGTGCTAAGGTGAAACATTAAAGTGTAATAGATTAAGTGAGTGAAATATATCATTAATAAACACATTTATATAGAAAACAGAATGGGGAAGTAATTAATCCTTAGGCCGACAACGTTCATTTGCAATGTATAATGAAACCAATATATTTTATACTATCATGATGTCCACTTTTGGCTTTAATACAATTATTTTCAAGCCAGTTGTCTTTATTTCATGCTTTTTTTTCTATTTGGTGCACAACCGTACCCTCCAGAGAATAGGAATAGAATAAGTCGAATCAAATTCATAAAGAGCTATAAAATGTTAGGTTTAATGGAATATAATGAGAATCAAGTAAAGACGTTATTAGAAAATAAGTGAGACAAGATATTGTGAAGTGGTATTTAAAGATCTGACAATGGATAGCAAGTTAATTTATAAGATGCCCCATAAATCTGTGCAGATCCCACGTGGTCGCATCTCAACAATAGGCTGAGCGAATGGTATATATTTAAAGGTAGAAGCATGATCTGTCAAGGCGTTCATTATTATCTTTTTCAAGATAAAGATCTAAGCCCTCATAAAAATCAGAAATATCTCGAGCCTTTAATTTGTATATTGCTGTTCCTGCAGAATGGGGCGATTCACCTTAGTGACCACCACCATATCTACTGATCAGCTAGCGCCACCCTCCCTCCTTTTTTGATGTTAGGCTCTGAGACTATGATTATTATGGCTACCGCAAATATATTGCTTGGTACCAGACATGTTCGTACCCCATATTCCATCTCCCTAGCTTTCTTAATGAGTGCTTCCAATAGGTCTCCACGTACATCTTTACGAACATATTATATATGTGTGCATGCATCCTGATGAACAGATTACTTTATAAGAAGTTAAAACCTTAAAGAGTAAAACGAATAGGTATTGTGAATAGTGGAGCAAGATTTAGCAGAATACTATAGTTAAGGTTCAATTTAGGTAGTATGGACTGAAGGTAAGGTCGGTTGGCAGGACTTAGTGTACTTATATATAGTAAACATCTGACATTGCAAAGTAACGTGTCTAGACATATTATAAAAAGATATTAACACAGAACCAACGAAATTTTGGCATTTTTAACAATACTGCAGTGTGTGTATACTGAAGAATGGTAGTTAGTCTACAGGGAGCCGTAGAGTAAATCAAACCATATATGATAAGAGTATAATCAATAATATAGTTCGTATATCAAATATTACACTAGGTTCAATAATTGAGTGTTATAAGGGAAACAAGCGTGGTAAAGCAAGAGAACATTTGATGCATAAATATTTTAAGTATTTTAAAATCCATCTAATTTAAGAATTGAACATGCATGATTAATAAGTATTATTATATTAGTATATACATATGTAAAACGTTAAAAGGTGTGGATGCTATTACAATTATTTCCAGTGTTACTTTTACCAACACAACTTAGTGAAAATTATAGAGAATAGAAATCAGTAAATTAGTTAACGTTCGCTGCGTGAGTATTAGAGTCGAGATATACGTATGTGACTATACTGAAGACTGGACTGGCCTTCAATTTCCGTTCTACCAACAGTTGTGGTCTTTTAGACGAGCTAGGGTGGACATGTTAAAGTGTCTTTCTAGGCTCCGTTTGAACCCATCAGGGTTTTCACAACATCTTATTTCAGGTGGTAGTTGGTTCCAAAGAGTGCAATATTTTATGGTGAAAAAGTTTGCCCTAATGGATTTTCTGTGGGTAGCCACCTTGACAAGGTAGTCGTGGTTTCGCAGCTGATATGATTTATGGATGAGTTACTGTAGCAGTGTTTCCTAATGACTTTGAAGAGTAGAAATAGGTTGCACTTCACTCTCCTTAACCACAGAGGCTCTAATTTCAGACGTACACACCTGTCAACATATTCCACTTGTTGGTCGAACCCTATTATGCGTTTCGTGAGGAATCTCTGGACACTTTCGATTTTTTTTCTGTCTACAGTCCTGAGGTTACTAAATAGGAGAGCACAATATTCAAGTTTGGGACGGATACATGTCCTATATATAGCTAATCTTGCTTCTTGGGTGTAGAAGTTACGCAGTACAAAGCCAGTAAGTCGTTTACAGTCAGATACAACCTTATTTGTATGATCGGAAAAGGATAAATCTGAGTATGTTATCCCGAGATCTGTGACTGTGTTCAGTTTTGAGAGGAGCTTACCGTACATATATAGGCACATTATCGGTTTCCAGCGTCCAAGGTGGGTTATACCGCACTTGTCTGGGTTGAAAGTCAGTTGCCACTTTTCGCTCCAATCGCCTAGATCATTTAAGTCTTGTTGGATCTTGCTTTCGACGCTCATATCACCGTACCCATAATCATATACTATCTTGAGATCATCTGCAAAAAGGTATGGCTTGCCATACTTGATTACAGAGACTATGTCATTTATAAATAAGAGGAATAGAATAGGGCCAAGAACACTACCTTGTATTACACCAATGGTTATCGGCTTTGAG